AACTGGAATTATATTGTAAAATTTTTTTCCTCAAAAAAAAAAAATAAGAATAATTTCTTTTAGCTTAAAAAAATGTACACTTTAAAGATAGAAGATAGGAAAAAATGCAACAATTTAAAATGCTGTTAATATAAGTACATTGTGCATATACAAGTGTCTCATGTTTGTTGGTAAAAATCAGAATATTCAAAAATATAAAAAGAACAATGAATGCATATTAATGCATTAATGCATATTATTGTGTATTATTTAATGCATGTAAATGTATATTAATGCACATTAATGCATATTATTTTCTACCTAATGCTGAAAAAAGTAAAGTTACTTGTTTTCTCTAGAAGTTAAAAAAGGAGTATAGTGAAATGTTACTCTTTGCCCAGAGATACTAAAACTATTAATGGTCTTAGTGTATTTTTTTATTTTAGTATGAAAATAATACATGCTAATCATCATTATTATAACAAACATTTCTGGATTTCTGTTACTTTTTACTGTAAAACACTTCGTAATGTGTAATGATCAGGTTAAAGGTAATGTATTTTATTCAATGAGTGTATATTTTATTCTATAAGTAATATATTTTATGCCAATTAAGTGTAAAAATCTGTAATTTAACTTTCAGGTTAAAAAAGAGTTTTACTTTTTATAACTTTTGAACTGTATATCCCATTTAAAGAAAAAAAAATATTGGAACTAAGTATTTCCACCTCTGCTCTCAAAATAAACACTGAACTTCCTGCCTCCTAAAGGCACCATCCCTTCTTTCTCTTTTCTTAGTACTAAGTCTTAGCCCCACTAAGATACTACTTTGCATTTAAAAAAATCTTTGCAATTCAAGTATAAAGAGAAGAAATCAGGAGGCAGTCAATAACCAGTCAATGCCCATGCTATGAAAACACTGTAGGGAATCTCATAAATCTGGCAGTCTTATTAAATTGCTCAAATTAGGAAAGAGAAATGGTGGGAGAAATGCCTTATTAATTGTGAATTTTTTTGTCTCCCCCCCATTAATTGTGAATTTGATTGAGCTTAATTCACCTTTGAGATACCATTTTTAATTTTAGAATATATGTGTTTGAGTAGAGCACTAGAAACAGATACATAAACAGTAAGATAGAGCATCTGTCTATATCTGTGCTGAAGTAGATAAATGAGCCCTAAGATGACAGGACAGGCAGAGCCAAAGAAGGCCATCAACTTGGCCTGAAGACTGAGGCTCACCTGGTAGTTGCCATCTCCCAGGGTAGGCTCTGGAAGCTCCATCCATGGTGGAGATGGGAGGGCAGGCTTTGGAGCTGGGCACCTGAAGGTTTGATTCCTGACTTGGCCACTTGGAAGATGTTTGACTTTGGCAAGTCATTTAAGTCCAGTTTCCTCACTAGGAGAGCCAATTATATCCATCTTGGGAATTAGGTAGTGTATCCATAAAGTTCCAGCTCATTAATAAATGGTAGCGCTTATCAGTGTTACATTCATGGGCAGGCTTAATAATCTAAGCTTTGTTCCCCATTGGTGACATTTTCACTATGCAGTGAAGCCTCAGTTTACAATCTAGTCTAAAATTATCTAGTGAAAGATAATTGAAAATTCAGATGATACATGGATTTGTCCAAGATGTTACTCAGTAATTACTTATTAATATATTAAGAACTGTCTTACATACTGGGGACATAAAGATGAACATACTACCCTTCCAGGAATGCACTGTCTAAACAGGTTGCAGGAAAGACAGATTTTAATTCTATGCAGAGACATTCTTGGCCTGTTCCTGGTTGTCCTGCAGCAAAGAAGAGTACACTTACATACTTATGGCATAGAGCTTGATGAGTAGTCATGAAGTTCCCTCCAGGGGCGCCTGGGTGGCTCAGTCGGTTAAGTGTCTCCCTTAGGCTCAGTTCATGATCTCCGGGTCCTGGGATCAAGCCCCGCGTCAGGCTCCCTGCTCAGTTCCCCCCAACCCCCGCTGCTCGTGCTCTCTCTCTCTCAAAAAAATAAAATCTTAAAAAAATTCCCTCCTTGTTCCATATCAGATTTTTATCAAAGAAATAAGCAAAAAACATCAAATGAGGGGAACTCTAGTTAATCTTGGCCTCACAGCTCATGTTATTTGAGAAGGCAGCAGGGTCCATATTTTCAACAAATCACCTATTGCTTCTGGCCAGGGTGATCCCTGAGCTGACTAGAAGAGATTAAGCAGACCTTCTGACACCAGTTATCACTAGTCAATTTTAAACTTCGTTTCAGTCATTTTTCTTTCCTCTTTCCTCTCTATTATTCTCATGGTACCAAAAAATGCTGTGTATTTGGTCTCAGGGGATTTGTTTTATTTGAATCTTAGAAATACCTGGTTTCTGGGGCACCTGGGTGACTCAGTCGCTTAAGCATCCAACTCTCGGTTTTGGCTTAGGTCATGATCTCAGGGTCATGAGATTGAGCCCTGAGTTCGGCTCCACACATTGGAGAATCTGCTTGAGATTCTCCCTCTGCCCCTCCTCCCACTCACACATGCTTGTGTGTGCTCGCTCTCTCTCAAATAAATAACTCTTAAAAAAAAAGAAAAGAAAGAAATACCTGGTGTCTGCTCAGTGACTACCCTGTGTTGGTCCAGCTCAGCACCATTTAGGCTCCAACCAATCTCACCACAGCAGCCTAGCTCTCTCTATCCCATATCTTTCTAAGGAATCAGTCCCATTTACATTTATGGGAAGAGTCCTTAGGCCTAAACTCTGGTCTCATCTGCATAGAAGGGAGTTAAGATTATTGTACCGTATTTTCTGAACATGAAGGGTCTTTAATTACTCTTTTCCTCTCAGGAAACCTCTTTATTTATTTTTTTAAAAGGTTTTTTATTTATTTATTAGAGAGCAGAGCTTTCGAGAGAGAACATGAGGGGGGGAGGGGCAGAGGGAGAGGGAGAAGCAGGCTCCCCGCTGAGTGGGGAGCTGGACATGAGGTTCCATCTCACGACCCTGGGATCATGACCTGAGTCTAATAGGCGCTTAACAGATTGAGCCACCCAGGTACCCCAGGAAACCTTCTCTTTAAATAGTAAGAGGACGCAACTCTTTGGAATAAAATTGTGGTAGTTTTGCAGTGAATTTTTAAAAGGAGTATTGCATTTCTTTAATTACCTGTAGTCACATCTTAATGATATGTATTTTCAGACAGCCAGTCCTTATAATTTCACATCGCATTCATTGCTTATAACTGACTCATTATTCCTAATTACAAACCAGCACACACAACCTGGAGATCTGAGGCAATTATCTGGATAGCTTAGGCCCTGAAGCTCATTTCAGTGGAAATACTATGGGACTTGAAGTAAGAAGGCCTATGTATATGAGCTCCATCTTTGTCCCTAACACCCATTTGATGTCTAGCAAGGGACTTGATCTCTCAGGGCCTCCATTTTATCATTTGTAAGGTGATAGGTGTTTGGGTTATCAACTCCTTAGTGAGTTAACCATCTTACTTTGCTCACCACTTCCAAGTTGGCTCCTTCATAGTCACATCTGTGCCTTGTTGCTCTTTGGCCTCTCTCTCCATCCCCATGGCCTCTCATCCTCCCAGGCCTCTTCCTGTACCTTGGCTTTCTCAGTGTGGTTTCCTGAGGGTAGTCACATTTTTTACATGGCGGCTGACTTCCAGGAAGAAGGAAACAAAAGATGCCAGGCCACTTAAGGGCTGCATCCCAGACTGGCACAACCTCACCTCTGCTGTGTTCTGTTTTTTAAAGCAGTGGCAGGACTCATGCAGATCCAAGGCTGGAGAGAGAGAGTCCACCTCTTGATGAGGGAGTGACAGAGTCACGTTGCAGATGAACATCTGGGATATGCCCAAAAATCTTGAACTGACTTTCTCAGGAAAAATGCATGTATATATGGTCATAAATGAATTGTCAATGTTACTAATGTAAGGGATGTGTAGCACCCAGTTTACCATTAAAAATAAACTATACCATACTCTTTTTTTGCAGATTCTATATCTCAATTGATTCTAAAAGAATGCTTCCATTGACTTTTGCAGACTCCTAGATTGGTAGCCAACCTACTATTGAGAATAAGGACTTTGCCTTTATTTGTCTTTGAGTCTCCTTCAGTGACATTCTCTTCTTGTACATAGTAGACTCTATAAATAACAATGAAAGATGGGGCACCTGGGTGGCTCAATCGTTGGGCATCTGCCTTGGGCTCAGGTCATGATCCCAGGGTTCTGGGATCGAGCCCCGCATCGGGCTCCCTGCTCAGCGGGAAGCCTGCTTCTCCCTCTCCCACTCCCCCTGCTTGTGTTCCCTCTCTCGCTGTGTCTCTGTCAGGTAAGTAAATAAAATCTTTAAAAAAAAAAAAAAAAGAACAATGAAAGAATTGTTGGTCACAATCGTACTGATCATCATAACATCATAACATCTCAGTTTTTCAAGCTGAGGGACAGAAGCATCTCTTCAGACCCCAACATCTACATGACATGGGTGATATGTTTGTTACGTGGTAATAGTCATCACATTCAATTAACACATTTTCTTTGAATGGCTTTAAGTGCTGTGCTGAAATTTTTCATTCTGACTGTCTGAACTTTAAATATTAAAGAATAAATAAGCAGCTGCCTTCTCAGTAGTTCCATGGCACCTAGTCAAAGCCATGTTGTGGTGGGTGGTATGAACTGTAGAACTTTCATAGGAAAATGACATTGTTTCTCAGAAAATCTCATGACCTCAACTATCCTTGTGGTCATCAAGGGTGGGGGATGCATGTGACTCAGACCAGGCCCCAGGATGAGTTTAGCAAAGGCCTTCTTCCTCTCCTCCTCCTCATGACACGTGAAGGAAATCTTCCCTGGTTTTAGTATGATCTTACATTTATCTTACCTTTACCTAGTAGAAATTAGGAATCTCTTTTGGCAAGACATTTTTTAAAAGAATGTCTGCTTTGTTGATGCTGTATATGCTGAGGAATTACGTGACCTAAGTAACATTTCTGTTTATCTATTTTTTTCCTATGCAGGCAGCTATAAGGAAAGAACTAAATGAATTTAAAAGCACAGAAATGGAAGTTCATGAAGAGAGTCGACAGTTTACAAGGTAGGTAGGTGGGCAAGATGCAGTTCGGCATATTTTGTTATGTGTACTTTACCACAGTTAAAAAAATTTTTTTTAAAACAGATGAGCATAACACCATCTAATGAACATTTCTAAAATTAAGTGTTGTTTTTTTTTTTTCCGTTCACAGAAGTCTGAATCGTTCCAAAGGGCTATGTTCTGGTTTCTTTCTTAGTCTTATTTTCTGGGCCAGGAGACAAGGATTAGAATCATTTATTCTGCTCTTGAAGAGACTCAGTTGAAGTTTTATGCCCAGAACAGATGCTGGTGAAAGCCACTATGAGCACCTGTGTGTCTGCTTTGGGCTCACAGTAGACATAACTTAGAGAAGATAACTCAATTTTCAGAAGACCTAACTTAGACTAGGAATCTAATTTTTACTGCTGCTGTGGAAGGCTACGGTAATCCTACCCTTTTTCCTCCCAGTACCCTTGGGGTTCAGTTTATTCTTCTGCTAAAACCAGAAGAGACCTGTGTGATCATGTAGTCTGACCACCACCCTCCCCCTCACAGGTGTTCTGTTTATTTCTCTCTAACGGGTTTATGTGCTTTGCTTTTTTATAACATGTATGTTCCTAAGAATTTGCATGCCAGTTAAATCTTGAAATACTGAATTGTTAAAAAACATACCAGGACAGATGATTACATGAAGAAGACCACAGTAGGTCTTTCTGGAAAGCAAACACTGATTCCCTAGGCTCAAAACAGCCTCTGCAAGACAGGCATACATTATAGTGCTATTCTTTCTGCAGTGGTTCCTGTTGGTGGTGGTGGTCCATGCTGAGAGCATGTCCTGTGATAAAGGAAGTAATGCTATAACTTCATAATTTAATAGCAAATCCCTCCGCTAACGTTGGTAGGGACCTCCTTGCTCCAAAGCTTTTGCTCCTATGATAATGTCTGGTTTGCAGAAGAAATTCCCCTTTCTTCTAGGGGAGTTGTATTTGTTTTGGTTCTTCCTATATCATGTTTATTTGTAAATGTATTCAGGGCTTTTAGCCATCTGGATGTATAGGATTTTTCTCTGTTTGAGGGCTGCATCCTATCCTGATCGACTCTTGGACCAGTCACATGCCCAGATCAAGCCAGACCTATTGTCCCCTCCTTTTCTCCCTTCCACTTGTGGGGTCAGGGAAAGTTCATGCTGATATTTGACACCTGTGGTCATACGTCTCCAGTAAAGTTGATCAAAATAAGGTGGCTGAAAATTTACGGTGACATCGAGTTGGCCGGGACCTCTGGGTAACTGGAAAGATAGCATACACGTGTTTGTGTCTTTGAGTCCTGACCCCTGAGATATAGTGACTATGCTCAACCTACTCTTTATCATTCAGGATCGTTTGACTTCTGCATAGTTTTCCTAGAAATCATAGTATCTGATTACCTAATTATCATTTGATAACATTATATGAAGACTAAACTAAAATAGAAAATAATCAAATTTTTAAAATGCATTTCTATGGAAGTTCCCAGCTTATGAAAAATAAACATTTATACTGAAAGAGGTTCTTTCTCTTCTGTTATTTGCTATGAACAAGGAAAAAAAAAGGTTGCAAGGAGAGTAAAGGTCATTTATTTTTTGCATCTATATTTGTTATGGGCACAAACAATATATTCTAATTAAGCATTCAAACAGTACAAAAATCCATCAAATAAAAATGAAAACTCTCTTCACTCCCTCCTTCCTCAACTTCATTCCTATTCTCACAGGTAATCACTGGTAAAAGTTTGGTGTAGATCCTTCTAGACATTTTTCTGTGTATTTGCAAACATGTAGGTGTATATATATGATCTACATCTATGTGCATATATGCCTTTATGTCCTCCCTCTGAGTCACACATAAAACAGCATCTAGAAGATCTTTCCATATTAGTGTATATCTTTCATTTGAATGACTTTATGGCATTTTGTAGATAATGTACCATAAGTTATTGAACAATTATTCTATTGATGGATGTTATGGAATTTTCAGTGTTTCATTAGTAAAACAATGACTTGACTTTCTTTATAAATATATCTTTGTGGGGGCACTTGGGTGGCTCAGTTGGTTAAGCGTCTGCCTTCAGCTCAGGTCATGATCCCAGGGTGCTGGGATCGAGCCCCACATCGGGCTCCCTGCTCAGCGGGAAGCCTGCTTCTCCCTCTTCCTGCCGTTCCCCTGCTTGTGCTCTCTCTTTCTCTGTCAAATAAATAAATAAAATCTTTTTTAAAATATCATTAAAATATATATATATAGCTTTGTGCACACATGCCAGTATTTCTGTACTAGTAACATGAGTGGATTTGCCAGGGCACTGGATATATATATTTTTTACATTTTGAAAGATGCTATTCTAAAACTTGTAGTTTATGAGCATGCCTAGTGTATCACCCTCATCAGCACTGGTGGGGCAGGATGGTGATGGTGGTGGTGGTGAGGGGTCTATAGTTTAAAGAATAAACATTGATTTCTGTAAGGTTGAGCATCTTTACATATCTTTATTGACCATTTATTTTTCATTTTTGATTTACTTTGACCTGTTTTCTTTTGGTTGTCTTTTTCATATGGATTAGTAAAAACTCCTTAGATATTGTGGATATTGGCTCTTTATTACATATGTCACCATACTTTTCCTCAATTTTTTCTTAACGTTTTAACTTTTTTTTATGGTCTTTTGTTTAAAGTTTTGCACATTTAAATGTGTCTGTATTGTTACATTTACTTCATTGTTTTGTGTCTTATGGAGGAAGACCAAGATTATAAATCTGTCATCTTCGGTTTTTATATATGCTTTTTTTTCTAACACTTAGATCTTGTATCCATTGGGCGTTTTATTTGTGTGGGTGATTTAAGAGAGTAAACTAACTTTACTTTGTTCTAAATCAGTAGTTAGGATGAATGGATAAAGAAGATGTGGCATATGTATACAATGGAATATTACTCAGCCATCAAAAAGAATGAAATCTTGCCATTTGCAATCACATGGATGGAGCTAGAGTGTACTATGCTAAGCAAAACAAGTCAGTTAGAGAAAGACAAATACCATGTGATTTCACTCATATGTGGAATTTAAGAAACAAAACAGATGAACATAGGGGAAGGGGAGAAAAGAGAGAGGGAGGCAAAACTTAAGACTCTTAACTGTAGAGAACCAACTGAGAGTTGATGGAAGGAGGTGGGTGGGGGATCGGCTAGATGGGGGATGGGCATCAAGGAGGGCACATGTTATGATGAGCGAGCGATGAATCACTAAATTCTACTCCTGGAACCAATATTACACTACATGTTAACTAACTAGAATTTAAATAAAAACTTGAAACAAAAATAAATAAATAAGTCAGTAGTCAGTTGCCCCAATTACTTCCCCCTTGATATGAAATTCTTCTCATATACACATGGATTAGTTCCTGGATTCTTTATTATGCTCTAGTGATCTGTTGCCTATCTTTGCGCTGTGTCACCCTGTTTAATTAGAATAGATTTGTAGGGGCGCCTGGGTGGCTCAGCCAGTTAAGCATCTGCCTTCAGCTCAGATCATGATCCCAGGGTCCTGGGATTGAGCCCCGCATTGGGCTCCCTGCTCTGTGGGGAGCCTGCTTCTCCCTCTCCCTCTGCCTGCTGCTCCCCCCTGCTTGTACTCTATCTCTCTGTCAAAAAAAAACATTTGTAGTGTGTTTTTGTATCTGATAGGGTATTTTTTCACCTTCAAAATGCCATTGGCTGTTTTTTCTGTATTTACTCACCTACAGAAATTTAGAGTATACTTGTTGTATACTATAAAAGCCTATTGATATCTTTATTGTTTAAGTAAATATTAATAGATGTAAATAGGGATGAGCTGCATTTCAAGAGAAAATTATAGGCTTTTTTTTTTTTTTGTAACAAGGGTAAGCTTTAAAAGTTTTCCAAAAAATATATTGATTGACACTCTCTAAAATGTCTATCCAGATAAGGAAAAATTAAATATTCATGTCACTAAGATAAATATGCCTTGCTTAAGTACTCTTTAAAACCTGGCAGCAAAGCCAATGTCTGCTGCTATTTTTCCATTAATTTGTATTACATCATTAGAGTTTCATTCCAATAGAGAGATCTTTTGGCTCTAAGACTTACAAAAATCATGCTTACGATTTTCAAATTGTTTTCAGTATTTCTTTTAAGAGGATAAAGGTTTGGTAAACACTGCTGAGTATAATCAAAATAATACCAAACTATGATAATGTTTTACATTTAGAAAATTGCTTATGGAGAAGATAGTGTTGCTCTTAGCACCAGCCACCCTTGGAGGGAACATACAGGCTGTGGATCATTACCTAGCCCTTTAAATGCAATCTAGATAGAGAGCAGCTCACTTATTAGCTCTTCTTATTAGTGCCAGACATTATCTCCTTATATCAAGTAAACCTGCCATTCAAAACCTAAATCTATTAACTCCCTGTGGGATTTAGAGTGGTTAATAGAAAGGCAGCCCTGCGCCCTCTGCCCAGGCACCTCTTTATCCAGAGATTATCTTCCACACAGTGATGTATCAGTCAACACCAGAAGGATCCATTCCCATATAGATCTTCCCTTGAGTCTGTATCTCTGGAGAGATTCACAAAAAGCTGATAACATTGGTTGCCTCTGGGGAGGAGAACTGGTGGGTAGGGGCAGGCATGAGAAGGCTTTCCACTCTGAATTTTTGAAATACAAGAATTTATTACCAAAAACAAATATTTAAAAGAAAAATAAAGGATCCATTCCCTGAGTTCTCGTTCTGTAAATGAGGATCCCATCCTGGTAGCTTTTCTTGAATAATGTGCCAGGACTAAAATTAATTGTGACATTCTTGTTATTGGTGTACCCAGAAAACACCTCTGAAACCTCCATCATGGAATACATTCTGTGACATGTTTGATCTGCCCCACAGTAAAGAATTATAGTGATCCACCCTTTCATCTAATTGCCCTGGTTTCTCCCAGTATCTTTTAGATAGCTGTCTGGCATTGCAGTGCATTCTGGGGCCATGTAACAAGAGGACTAGTGGTGCCTATGAGACTTCATCCTGTGGCCTGAGAGGTACCAAGCTCTAATCTCGGCTTCTTAGAACACTCACTGCTCATCTGGCCACATCCTGTGTTTTCTGCCACCAACAGCTGCCCACCCAGCCCACTGTTCAAAGCCCAAAAGACCATTTGAAGGGCAATGTATTATTTAATAGGATTATTGCATTCTGGAAGGAGACCACCATGGCAAAATAAAGCCACTCCTTTTCATAGTAAAGGGCATTTCTACAATTTAAAATGATTCTCTAAATTACGAAGACAAATTGTATGAAAGGTCAAATTTTACTTAAAAACTAAATTTTATTTACTTATTTACTTATTTATTTATTATTTTTAAAGGTTTTATTTGTTTATTTAACAGAGAGAGAGAGCACAAGCAGGGGGAGCGGCAGGCAGAGGGAGAGGGAGAAGCAGGCTCCCCACAGAGCAGGGAGCCCGATGCGGGGCTTGATCCCAGGTCCCCGGGATCATGACCTGAGCTGAAGACAGACCCTTAACTGACCGAGCCACCCAGGCACCCCTTAAAAACTAAATTTTAAAATGTTTATAGCTGAGTGGTAAGATTATGGGTCATTGTAATCTTCAGGATATTCTCTGTTTTCCAGAATTTTTTTAAGTGTCCACATGGGTTAGATTTATAATCAAGAGAGAATATTACTTTTATAAAAGTAAACTTTGAATTTGTAAATAAGAATATTTTTAGAGTGTGCAGTGTACTACTTTCATGTTTATAATTTTATTAGGTTATTAATTATTTACTTGTTATATTAAGCAAAGAATCATTAAATTGATGCTCTTAGACTCAAAGTGGGTCTCAAGAGATCACTGGCATATTGTTAGGTGGAAAAACCAGGATACTGATAAAGCTACAAATAGCAATGGTATGTTTTATCTAAAATTCAGATGCACAGGAAAAAATTGGAAAATAACATTCAAAAGCTCTTAACAGTTTCTTATAGAATGGCGTTATTGTTTTGGGGTTTTTTTTCTCTACTCCAACCTTTTTAATGTGGTTGAGATATGTGTGTGGATGTGTGTATTTAAAGTAATTATCTCGTTCTGTACCATCTTGAGTGATTACTGTCCTATGTAGATTTACAGTGAAACTGCTTTTCAGCTTCTAGATATGCTTATGAAAATGTGACATGGGGGGCACCTGGGTGGCTCAGTAGGTTAAGCCTCTGCCTTTGGCTCTGGTCAAGATCCCAGGCTCTCTGCTCAGCGGGGAGCCTGCTTCTCTTTCCCTCTGCCCCTCCCCCACCCCATGCTCCTGCTCTCTCTTTCTCTCTCTCTCTGCTAAATAAATAAAATCTTTTAAAAAAATGTGACATGGCAGGAATTACATGTGGGACCTCAATGAAAAATAAGGGGTGCTCCACAGAGGAATGAGAAGGCTTCTTCTGCAAGGCTGCTCTCTTCCATGGGTGCTCCATGTACCTGGACAGAAACTTGAAAAAGTTGCAAAATGCTGCTTTAACCACCAGCGTTGAAAGCATATGGCTCAGTATTTGGAATCATAAAAGCCCGGGCACCTTGTGGTCTGGCTTCTCAGGTAAAACTAGGAGCCTGGTTTAGGAGAACCTGCTCATTTAACGTGTATATGCCTTGATGATAAAACCCTTTCAAATAAAGGAGAAATGAATTATTCAGGATTTCTGTATCTATCAAGCAGGGAAGTATAAGAAAGTAACATTTTACATTTGTGAGTAATTTTCCATGTTCTATTATCTGAATGACTTTACAGGAAGGTGAGTATGTTTTTATATGGTAATTTGTGGAGGAATCATCTTTATGGAAAACAATGATCTTTACCTGAATTCCATGACTTAAAAATAGCTCCGCCCCCATTCACTTCCTCTCAACAGTATGAAAATAAAAAAGATGTATTCCAGTTTTAATAATAAGAAGAAAATATAGGTAACTTCAAATTTGAGTCTCGGGAGAGTTCCAAAAAAAAGAGTGGATGAAAAGTTTCAGTATCCTTGGGGCACAATAAATCTATTTATTGCTCTGTTTATTGCTCCATCAACTGGAAGCCTGAAGCCAAACTGTCATTCTGTCGGGCTAACTTCTCAGGAGGTAAAGCTGAACTTCTCATATTTCAAAATGAATGCAAACCACTGAGTAGTAACAAATGTAAGAACAATTTGCATTTTCAGTACCTCTGAGCTGAATTTGAAGAAAAGATGCCTAATTTAAACAGGATATAAATGTCTTTTTGTGATTGGATAGTGCAAGAAAATATATGAGGTGGCTTTTTGGTTTATTTTGTTGTTGTTGTTTGTTTTCTAAACCAGGTCTGGCAGTCCATATGAAGAGAGGGTTACATTTCTGACCCCCTGGCTTTGTCAGCATATTGTTGCAATCACACTCTTGGTTGGTCATCTTCTTCTCTTAGCCAGCCCTAGGAGCTGTGCCGAAGGCCTGTGATCCTCCACACATCCAAATGTGGAATTCATTCTCTAGTGGGATCCGTGGGCAAATAGTGCCTACAGGAAAAACAAAAAACTTTATAGTGTCCGGCAAATTTTGGGAAATTAAAAGCAGGACACTTTCCAGGAAAATGCTGGGCTTTAGAAAGTGTTAAATCTCTTCCGTTCCATTGACTACTCACTTTTCGCTGCTCAGCTCACTTATTAACTTAACTTCTTCATCTCATAAACATTATTGGTGTGAAGACCAAACCTGTCATGTCTTGTTTCCCTATGCTTGTCCTCTGAATCCAGAGCCAAATGAAGATCAGGTCATTGTGGAATGTTTGCTGTACAGAGCCCAGCAAATTAGGAGAGGGCTAAAATAATTGCTAAATTGGGTGAATTTGTATTTAATTCCTAGAAAAGCTGAACCTAACAAAGAGGGGTCTTTGATAGCTCAGGGTGGGAAGACCCTGCAGGTGCAGTATATTTGTCTGTATTGTCAGGGTCCCCGGAGCTCCTGCTTCCTTTGTGGGGCATGTGCTTGTGTGTCCTGCATGGAGAGAAGTGATACTGCTCATTGCAACCACAAGGACATCACTGGACTTGCTTTTCTAGTAATTGCAAAAAGTTTGTGCTGAGCCCATTCTCATCTAGTTCCCTTTGTGACAAAAGTGAGAAAACTATAGCTATCAAAGTATAGCCTAGGGAGCTCCTGGGTGGCTCAGTCAGTTAAGCATCCGACTCTTGATTTCAGGTCAGGTCATGTACTCCCCACATCAGGCTCCGCGCTCAGCGCAGAGTATGCTTGGGATTCTCTCTCTCCCACTCTGTCTACCCCTCTCCCTGCTGTCCCTGTTCACTCTCTCTCTCTCTCAAATAAATAAATAAAATCTTTAAAAAAAAAAAAAGTGTAGCCTTGGATTTGGAACAGGACTTTTCTCTGGTCAAAATTCATCAAAACTAACTGACAGATTTAGAAATCTAACTGATTACCTTTTCCTTTGCATTCTGCCGAGAGGGAACCAAGAAAACTCTTTGAATGAAAGTATGAGTGAAGACATGTTTTGTTCTCATAGTCTGGTCTAGGTTAGGAATAGAGTCTGGAGCCTGGTGCCTCTCCTTACCAGCTCTGTGCTTTGGGCACATGACTTAGCATCCCTGTGTCTGTTTCTACACCTGTACAGAGGGGAGGGGATACTGGAGTAGATGCCTCCTAGGATTGTTTTGAGGATTGAACTAGGTAATATATGTATAGTACTTGGACTTCTGCTGGGCATATGGTAAACAGTAGTAATTTCATCTGTCATTATTATTATCTGCCTCTTTTTTATATTTTACATAAAAAGGTTGATTTAAGAGGTTTTCAATTACTATTTTGAAATACTTTCATAGAATTTCTGTATTTTTCTTCAGGTAATGGTTGACTCTTCCTAGAAAGCATGATGGAATGTCCTTGTATTGTAGATTAGTATAAATTTAATTGTAGTTAATATTGGGGGTCTCATGATTGGACTCTTCAGTTACAAGAATTACTTATAGAAAGTTATCAATAACTTTCTAAGTGCCCCAGTATATATGTATTCAGTTGTTTATGCATTCAGCCAGTATTGACTGAGCACATAGAGTGAGTCAGACTCTGTTCTGGACCCTGGGAATTTAGAACATGTCAGATAAAGCCCTTACTCTCACATGGTTATGTTCTAGTGAGGGAGACAAACCATTAGCAAGTAAACCAATCAACATGATAATTTCAGATTGTGCTAAGTACTATCAAGAAAATGTAACAGGATGCTCTGGAAGGGATGGGGAGGGGTCTTTTAGGGAAATACAACCTATCCTGCGATTTAAATGACAAGAGGAAGCTATCAGGCACTGTCAGTGGAGAGAAAAACATTCCACCTCCAAAGGGGGGCCAGCCCATTTAGAGGGAAGAGCTAGTGCAAAGGGCCTGAATTGAATAAGGATTTTGCATGATCAGAGGGCAAAAACAACACCCAGGTGACTGAAACAAGAACATTGTCTCCATTTAACAAATGTAGAGCAAAGGTTATGGCCAGGGCTAGCATTAGGAATTGAATTCGAAGTGGATACATCCCTACTTTGATCACCACAAGTTTGCTATTTTGGTAAGGTTGGTATATCTTATTTTTATTTTGAGTTTTGGAAAGTCAAACATTCGGGCGCCTGGGTGGCTCAGTTGGTTAAGCGACTGCCTTCGGCTCAGGTCATGATCCTGGAGTCCCTGGATCGAGTCCCGCATCAGGCTCCCTGCTAGGCAGCGAGCTTGCTTCTTCCTCTGACCCTCCCCCCTCTCATGTGCTCGCTCTCTCTCTCTCTCTCTCTCATTCTGTCTCAAATAAATAAATAAAATCTTTAAAAAAAAAAAAGGAAAGTCAAACATTCAAAAGTAATATAACAAGCCCCATGCATCCATCATAGAGCTTCTCCAATTATCAAATTATAGCCAAGCTTGTTTCAACTGTTCGTATGCCTTTAATTTTTCATCTTTTAGTGCTTTGATTCCATCCAGCAACATTTTTTTAAGTTGTCCAATGTGCCAGATATTATATTCTGTGAGTATATAAAAGTAATTAAAAGCAGGTCTTTCCTCAGCACCTCAGGATCTGAGTAGACACACCTACACAAAGATCATATACTGACTATGATAAATAACTATTATAAACCAAGTGTTACGGCAACCCAGAAGAGAAAGCGATTAATGCTTTCCTGAGAAATGGGGAAAGCGGAGTTTGGAGAACTCACAGAGTGAGATTGCAGGACGTGGAGATGGGAAGGAAGGTAGGGTAAAGGACAGAGCACAAAAGTGGAGAGCATTTGGGGACAAATGATTGGAACTTGGGGTATTTTGGGAGTAGTAATGGAGATACAGCTAGAAACATGGTTTGGGCCACATTCTGAAAGGCCTCAGTCACTACTCTAAGAAATTAAATTTTATTTCATAGGGAAAGGAGAACAATGCAATGATATTAACAAAGAACTGGAATGATTAGATTAGTGCCTAGGATGATATTGCTAGTGAGAGCGTGTGGCACTGATTTGATCGACAAATCTCTGAGCCTGCAACAGGGAAATGAATTAGGAGACTGGTTTATTAGGCCAAATGAACATTAGATTACACAAGACAAATGAAATACTAAACAGAGTTGCGTAAGTGTGGAATCACAGAAATAGGCTGAAGTAGATCAGATAAGGCTTTTTGGAGAAGATGACTTTTGGCCTTGATCTTGAATATGAAAACATAGATGGGAAATGAAGGGAGGGGATTGCAATATTACGAAACATAGCATGTGCAAAAAGCACAGGGCTCCGAAAACACAAGGAATGTTCAGTAACTTGCATGGAGGGATGTGAACGTACTGTTCAAATAGCACTAGCAAAAGATGGGAAAGCTTTAGTGGATTCAAAGACCGCAAACAAGGCAAGACTTAGTGTCTCGTGGGATATGGAGGATGTAGGAGAGAAATGAGTTGCAAATCTGAGGGTCCTAGACTAAAAATCTTTTAAAGGGTAGATTGTTTAACAAGAAAGAGGGCGCCTGGGTGGCTCAGATGGTTAAGCGTCTGCCTTCGGCTTGGGTCATGATCCCCGAGAGCCGGGAGCCTGCTTCTCCCTCTGACCCTCTCCCCTCTCATGCTGTTTCTCTCTCGCTCGGTCTCTAAAAAATAAATAAAATCTTTAAAAAAAAAAAAAAAGAAAGAAAGAAAGAAAGTACAGGGGCGCCTGGGTGGCTTGTCTGTTAAGCGGCTGCCTTCGCTCAGGTCATAATCCCAGGGTCCTGGGATAGAGCCCTGCATCAGGCTCCCTGCTCAGCAGGGGAGTCTGCTTCTCCCTCTCTCTCTCAAATAAGTAAATAAAATCTTTTTTAAAAAGTGCTGTGGACATGCTTAGTGGAGCATTTGGATGGAAATGCCAGCGAGCATTTGGAAATTTCAGGCGAAGAAGGTAGATTTGGAGTCTTCAGTGGGAGGCAATGGGAGGCTGAAGCTAAACCAAGAGGGACTATTTGTTGATGGTTTCCTTTTATAACTATAAACCAGGTGTAACCAAATCCTTTATGAAACATCCCACTCCGCTCGGTACAGGTCAGAACATGACCCTCAAGATTAGTGATGTTTTGTGTATCGATTGCTCTGTATCCTGGACAGTATAACCAGAATATTTTCTATAGGGGCTGTCTCTGCTTTCCAACCTCACATTTGTTAACAGTATTCTTTTACGACAGTGGTTTATAACAGTAGTGCAGTTGGGGGATGTCTAGAGCTGCCTTTAATTTATAAACATTACTGGCACCTTATTTGTTTTACTGATTGTTGACTGTGTTTTCTCTACCACAGACTCACAGAGTTTCTGTTTCTTGTGTCAGGTTTCACCGTCCGTAACGAAGCGTGAGACTCTTTGGAAACATAGACTGATCATCTTTGGGGGAAGCCTCTCTTCCCGAAAACCTGATATTGCACTGGGATTTGCGTGTGTGTGTTTCCCTTTAACTGGTGAAGGAAGTGTATGGAAAGTGCTCCCCACCTTCATGGCCCAGACGGGGCCAACAAGCAAAGGGAGGGGTGCAGTGACTGCTGTCCAGCATGTGTATTGATGGTAAGCAACACCGTGGTCACACCAGTTATTCTCCATAAGGAGTTTTAATCAAAGAAGATGAGCAGAAGACAATCGCTGGCTCCCTGTTACCAGAAAGCCAAATTGTAGAGTGCAGGTTGAAGAGAAATCGGGGCCTGGAGTTGCTGGGCACTAGAAAGGGGTGGGGGTGGAAAATCAGAAAAAAAAAAAAAAGAGAGAGAGAGAAATATTTCATTATGTTAATGAAGAAAAGAGAAAATCAAAGCATAAATATTTTTGAAGAAGGCTTTTGGTAGCTGAGAACCTATTAAGATATGGGAATCTAATCACCTAACGTGGATTCCTTAAAGACCTGATCCTAGAAGAATATTCTCGTTTCACCGTTATGTTGGTGCAGTATAGTACCATTATTTTATGTTGTGCCAGTGAATCCAATTGCCAGAAATACGTCTGAGTGTTTTCGTGCATCTTTTTCTTAAATGCAAGAGACTTTTATTGACTCTTAACAAGCATGCCTGCCCAAATTTTGTTGCATGTTTTAAGTAGCATAGCTATACACACTTTTTTTTTTATACTCCTTATCTAATGTACCAAACTTCTACAAGGATAACAGGACTGGGAATAAAGTCAGATGAATGTGATCCTGTAAATCTGTAGGAAGCTTTAGAAAATAAATCTTTTGGTCTTTCCCTAGCTTGGTTATCTTCAGAGTTGAAGCAACCATACTTGATCTAAGGAAGATAATATTGACAATCAAAACACCTTTCTAAAAAATCTGAGTCCAAAGTAAAAACTTAAGCAAATGCAAGTGTTCTGCCAGCAGTTAGTTCTGAGTGGGCATGGAAAGGACTACTTATTTTCAGGGCTGCATTAAGTTGGATTGCTGCTATTAAAAAAAAAAATTAAGTACATGGATCAAAAACATACCCGAAGGCTTAGAAGAACACAGAAAGTTTCTGCTAAGTTCCAAGTGAGGAATTTTGTATTTTAAGAGTCTGCAGACTGCATCCATAAATATAGCATTGACTTGCAATGCAAAAGAATCAGTGAGATTAAAGTCATGGAAGGTTTCTCTGTGAGCCTAGAGTCAGTATTGTTTACATTAAGAAACCCTCAATTGCCATCTTGCGATTTTCCGTGGAGTCGCAAGCACAGCGTGGCTTCTGCTCCCAAATACATATGATCAGATGTAAATACTACCTTGCATTCGATTGTTCTTTCATGATTGTTTTGTGCTCCTTTTATTAAAAACACGTGAGACCTAAAATAACAAGACAAGACCTAGTAGACTTTATTTTATTCGCAGAGCTTGGGCTAGAATTTTCTGAAATGCTTCTGGTTCATGATATGGAAGACTGTAATTTGCGATTTCAACCAAAAAAGCAAACATTTAATCTGGTGGATAAGTTTGGATCCTGTCAGTCATGTATATTCTGTAGAACCACTTGAAATGGGGTGATTTTGCTTAAAATTAAAAAGTTTTGGCCCCAACTGGCCTGTTAGAAAAAGCCAGGACCATTTTATGTCTAAGAAAAGTAAGCAGCATTGCTGCACCTTTTGCTGCACTGGGCTATCTGTGTAATAAACCCAGATTCTGCACTGTCGTCATTTCATTACTAGTATAAGATGTACTTTTCTTTTGAAAAAAATGTTCTGCATGCCCAAGTGTCTTTCTCCGGCTGAAAGGTTTTGTCCATTTCATAGTGTTCAAATCCAACCACGGACATTAACTTTGTTCTCATTTTTTTGCCGAAGCCTTCCTTTTCCTTATAATACTATTATGTTATCGTTGTTGTGTCTTGGGAAAAAGTCCAAGGAATGTAATGTTATTTTAATTTTCTATACTTAAAATCTTAAAATGTTGTCATAATTTTTAATCACGAGGCCTCTATAAAATGGTAAATGTAAGACATTATCACTGTTTTAGCATTCAAGGTACAGGTCATAGAAAGTCTCTACTTGGTTGATAAAAGGAGCAGTTTTTTTCCCCACTCATGGTGCATGTGATGCAGGTTTTTTTATTCCCTACAATGAGATGCACCCAGTACAAAGATGAGACTCCCGTCCTTCAATATACGGTTTTGCTTGTATGGTATGTCAGATTTATGAACTACCCACACTTTTTTCTTCATACCGATTGACACATTTAGAGAAAAGTTTAAAAGAGCAAAATCAAAAAGTCAAAAATGTTACCACTGCTAGTCTGCTATTTAGGAATTGAAAGCACATTATCATTAGAATGATTCTTTAAATAAAAAGCTATGAAAAGAGGGGCACCTGGGTGGCTCAGTTGGTTAAGCAACTGCCTTCGGCTCAGGTCATGATCCTGGAGTCCCAGGATCGAGTCCCGCATCGGGCTCCCTGCTCAGCGAGGAGCCTGCTTCTCCCTTTGACCCTCCCCTTTCTCATGTACTCTCTCTCTCTCTCATTCTCGCTCTCTCAAATAAATAAATAAATCTTTAAAAAAAAAAAAAAGCTATGAAAAGAATCGAAGGATTGTGAGGTAACCTGTATTTTTCAGAATAAGGCTCTGTGTTCCTAGCTAATTTTTAAAAGGTGGAAACACTGCATATTCACCCAGCAGCCCATCCAGGTCTCTTGCCTGGCATCCCTAACGATGTGGACCACCCTCCATCTAATTAGGCCTCTGCCCAATGCCAGCATTTCTGCTGTCCAACCAGTAAGCTACAGTTCTATGAGAAAAATAAATGTGTGTGTGAATTGGGCTGTTGTAACACAATACCAGGCTTTTCCCTATTTAAAGTGAGACATTAGGCTGACATAGAGGAAGTGAATGAGTTTTCCTGAGTCCCCAAGATATGATTAGGGTAGGAAACAAACCCATATCCAGGAAGATCTCAGGCAGGAAGGAACCAGACAGACTGTAAAACACAAAGTGGCCATTTCTGTCTTTTTTGAAATGGAGCAAAAGAACATTAAGGTAGTAAGGAGACACCATGGGCATTATCAGCATCTTTGTGGTCTGATGAAATTAGTCCTCTAATGAGCATTAATTTAAGGCAACCCTGCCTGATAATTCTCTGTGTATGTGAAATGTCTTGGCATTTTTTATGTTTGATATAATTTACCTTTATGTTAATTCCTTAAATTATTTAAACTAAATCTATAATATTCAGAGAGCCATGTGGGGTATTGGAATAGCTGTTTTAAGTGGAGGAAAAAGCAAACTCATCTATCTCTCGGATTTACCGAGAAAAACAGACTTTCTTTTTTTGTTTTCATGTCCTTTATTAGCATAATGATTGTAGTCACTTATCTTTTTCTAATGTTAGTAAATATGTTCTGTTAGAAAGTTTTGAAATGTAAGTGAAAACCTATTTAAGACAGTAAAGGAATTGACTACACCCTTCAAAAATCATCAGATATTGAAAATGAGAGATAATTTCCTAGAACCCATAATTTGGGTTTCACATCCCTACAATATTTCCGTGCTATGTTGGTACTTTGAAAAAATCCAGTAGCTTACACTTAAAAGTGAAAAAACTCTGCATATCCTGATATGGACCACATTTTAAGATATAACAGGCATTGTATTTATACTCAATAGTCATCAGACAGCTTTCAAAAATGATACTGTATTCACAATAGAAAAAGTCTCATCTACCACATAGTAGCATGTACACATTTAAAGAGTGAAATCTCTCTTTTCCTCCTTCTTGCTCAAAAATTTCTTTAGTTTATTATTTTTTAAGTGGTCCCAGCAGCACATTAAACACAGTGAGAGAAGTCTTCCTCAAAATAGGTGAGATGGAAGATATGCTCATTTCTGTCATTTCATCAGTACAGTAGCTGAAGCATCCCTAAATTCCAGTCATGTTATTAGCCCTAACCTTACTAGTGAAGGTATATAATTTGAGACAAGAACTAATTTCTTCACATCATTAGAGTATGATGTGAGCAGTAAGGTACCACTAAGATGTAATTTATGTACGGAGTTGACCCTTGGCTTCTTGATATAGGTTATGTTCCACTATTGAGCATTTGGTGTCTTCTTATTGACGGGATATGTCACATTATTTTGCTTGGCAAAGCAGAATGAGCTTTCTGGAACTGAAATATGTCCAAGAGGGGAATGCAATGGCAAAAGTCACCATCACATTAATAGGACCATCTTTCTGAGAGAAAGCTCATCTTTAGGTAGTTCAAATCCAAGGTTCAAAGAGCAGCATGAGGAACTACTCTTAATTTGGCAGTGACCAAAAGGTGGTGGGAACAAAGGTAGAATATTCCCAAACCAGTTCTCATTTTCACTTTCCCTTTATTTTGGGTAATAATTAAGCTTAAGTTCTATATGAAAATGGGAACCACCATTAGCATATCTGGAAAACATTGGAAGCAGAGTTCACAAGGTCATTCCAAATTAAGAAATCCCACTACATATTCTGTAAGATTTCTGGCAAAAAGAAAATAAAGTATGAAATGAAATAAAATAAAAATAAAATAAAATAAAATAAAATAAAATAAAATAAAATAAAATAGAATCCTGTGGCTGTTATTCTCACCAAAAGCCAACCTTGTAGGCAGGGGTCATTTTTAGCCATGCTAGGTTTTACTGCAGTGTCACTCAGCTTGCTGTGTTGCTGACACAAACTGCACCCCTATGAACACCGTGCTGTTGATCAGTGTTTTGGGGAGGGGGTGCTGTTGGCATTTGGAGCTGGGCAGTTCTTTGTTTACAGAAATGTCCCCTACATTGCAAGCTGTTTTATATCCTAAGCTCATGCTGACTAAATGCCAGTAGCATGCCCAGTCACCGTAAAAACACCAAAAGTCAGAAGCGCTCCCCCATGTTCAAAGGCCCTCCTAAGGCGGTACCACCTCCCTTGAGTACCACTGTCTGCTGCAATTTGAGGACACACAGGGAAGAGTACCTCTTTCAAAACATCATCTGGACTGCCTTGCACTACTTTGGGCCCTGAATAGTTCCTTCCCCCTTTATTTTCCAAGCCTTCTGCTTCAGTGAAGCTTTAATTTGCCAGTTCTTCAGGGAGGAGGGTGCTGGGCAGCCTTGGCCGTTTCAGTTGGCATCGTCACTTGGCTGGTCCATGTATGTACTTACAGGAGAAATTTCAAATGAAGCAAACTTTTTTTCCTCTGTTTTGGCCTCACAGTTTTACCTAAGAACTACACTGTTGGTTACCGTCTTTGTCAGGGTCTTGAGGATTATTGCATGGCTTAATCACAAATACAGCTAACAATCCACGTAACAAAACTGGCGATCCATGAAAATCACCGTTAGATTTTCTCCTGGTAAGGTACATCCCTTGAGGTTCAAAGCTATCACCTATTGATCCTGTTAAAGAAGCATTTAATCCACTTGTAAGTGCTTGAATTCTCCCTGTAACTGTAGTCATGCAGTTCAACTTTTCTAAAATTTGTCAATACTAAATTATGAAGGAAGCGTGGATTAACTGGATTGCATGCCTGTTGTTCATACTTCATTGATGGTCATACACAAAATAAGATGATTTTACCTAGTTGAAACATTGTGGAACTACGCTAATGATACATAAACATACTTTTGCTCTGTTGCTTTTTATCACCAAAACTGAATGGTGAATATGTCTTGAAATGATTTGGATGAACTGTGGCTAATAGAATGGAAGAATTTAGCCACTGTAATTTTCCAAATACTAAAATGTCTAAGTATCTTTTTCGAGACAGAGCAACTCAGAGTTGATAAAAGAGGTTATATTGTGAATTTTTAGATGGTGCTTAAGAATTCTTATCTTGTTAAATACCAGTATTTTTTTTTTTCTTTTTAAGAATAAATTAAAGGGAGTAAATGAGGCAGAATGCCACTCCACCCTCAGGTCAATTTCATGGTATATTAAAATGCCAATAATATTTGTGCCACTTGCCAATTTGGGGGACTCTTGCCATACTGGATGCTTTTGTTATAGTTTGTATCATTACATTGCTTAGAGAGCCTTCACAAAAAGATGTCACCTTTGCAGTGCTAACTAGCATTTGAAAACAATCTGAATAAATCTAGGGTCAAACCACTTACATTACTTAAAATATAGGCACTAATTTTTATTTTCATTTTTTTAAATATTTCTTCTGTGGCTTAGAAATGTGCCAATGTGTTCAAAACATTCTGCACCAGTTTCACCAGATTTAGTACCTAGCAAAAACTCAAACTTGTCATTTTTTTCTATGTAATAGTGATTTTTAAATCAAGAACTATACACATTCGTTTGTTATTTTAGTCTTTGGTTAAAGTGATTAAGAATGGTAAGCTGTGATCATTATCAGACTGACGGAATGATTCCTAATTTCCAGTAAGTGATCTAATTCTACATATTACACAGGTACAATATCTGTGAGTGTAAATAACTGGAACTGTACACTGATTAACATGACAGTTTCTCTTTTTTTGTTGTTCTTGGTCTGTACTGTATTATAGTATGTCGGTATAAATACCTACAAGTATACACAGATATGTATATGTATTCCACTATTGTAACCTGAAAGACAGACTATGTATTATCTTTTTTATTCCTTACTGGTGTTTGTGTTATTTAAAAAGCAAAAATTATGCTCTATTTAGTTGTATAATATTATAGGATCTTTGCTGTGCACAATTCCAAGTGCCTTAGAACATGGTTTAGCTTTCTTAAGTATATATAAATGCATATATGTATAAAATTGGGAAAAGTTACCTCAATAAAATCATTGGGAAATCCCCAACTTTAGTTTCTTCCAATTCTATTGTATTGAGACAGTGCTCGGTATTTTTAAATTAAAAGCTTACGACTCCTCCCCTGTAAAGCAAGAATAAGACAGATCTTCTAATTGTCTATTATTTCAACTGCACCTAATTTAAAATTTTTTGTATGTAAGGCCTTGTGATTTGTAATTTTTATTTAAAATATCTAAGAATTACTGCTTTAAACAGCAACTTACAGTATATTTTTAAAACTTGTTTTTTTTTAATATCTGAGGATATTTGATGTTGATGTTTCTATTGACATTATATTATGTAAAAATAAAAGCTAGTACCTTTAGAGTTTATAATACAGAAAATAAACAAAGTTCCTCATTATGCTTATTATTTAATGTATTATAAGCAAAGAGAGAGGTGGGGAGCATATTTTGGCCAGTAAAGGAACTGGAATATACTTTTCATTTTTTCAACAGCAGTTACAAATTGTAACTTAGCCTCCCTCAACTCTGGGACAAAAGCAAAGGTAGGAGAGGAAGGTATGAAAAGCAATTTGTGTGCCATTATCCTAGAAGGAAGACATATAAGAGAGAAGATCGGGACCAAGAGTTTTAAAAGTAGGTTTGAAAAATTGGCCCCAAGTATGCTATGTATGCTATTAAAAATTAGCTGTACATCCCCAAGGTAAGTGTAGTAGTTCAACAGCTACTTTCCATTTTTGCTCACACTAAACTAGGTTTTGCGTTGAAACACTAATTTCTAAAACCCAGTGGAGGTAAGAAATGGACAAATTTTTTTTCCATTTTACATAACACTTTGATGGCATTCATTTACGTAAGACTATTGTGATTGAACTCATTGCTGGACCTCAACTCAGATATCTGTATGGAGTGCTTATGCTGCTGTCTACACACAGGCCAAGTCCTTGCTCAGTTTATGAGTTCTGAACTCTTTGCCCTTTACTCTCCCTCTGCCCCTCTCCCAGCTCATTCTCTCTCTCGCTCTCTCAAATGAATAAATAAAAATCTTTAAATAAAAAATATTAATAATAAAGGGGCGTCTGGGTGGCTCAGTTGCTTAAGTGTCTGCCTTTGGCTTGGGTCAGGATCTCAGGATCCTGGGATCAAGCCCCACATCAGGCTCTTTGCTCAGCGGGGAGTCTGCTTCTCTGTCTCTCTCTGCCCCTCTCCTAGCTCATTCTCTCTCTCTCTCTCTCACTCAAATGAATGAATAAAAATCTTTAAATGAACTCTTTGCCCTTTAACAGGTGGTCACTAAGTAGTAGAACACAGAAAACTCTAGAGAAAGCTGAGAACCTAAGTTTGTGTGAAGGTTTTTTGCTCTTTTGCCAAAAACAGGTACCATTTCTAGATTTTCAGGGAGAAAAGCTATAGATACTAACTTTGTAGTTAGATAAATATCCTAAGGTGGCGAGAACTAGCATTTCACTCAACAATGGGAAGAATTTGTCCCTAATTATCATGTAGGCATACTCAGCAGCTTGACCTTAAGTTGTAAGTCATCTTTTCCACGGTCAATTTAAGTTTGTTACCACTTTATGTTTAGCCCCTTGATTACCTCTGAAATCTTGGTCATTGCCTCTCTGAGTCTTCCTCAACCAACCGTTCTTAACCCTGCTACCACATTATTCTTCCTAAAGGATAACCCTCATATTATTCCTTCTCAGAACTTTCCAGTGAGTTCCCTCTGCCTACCGAATACCTCCCAGGTGCTTCAGTCTAGCCCTCAAGATCTGCAGCTTCACCACAGACCACAGTTCCAGATAACTCTCATTCCTCGCTTGGGCCAAATCAAATGAAACTCATTGTTCTCCATATACATTATGCACTCTCCCAACATCACAGCTTGGTTTGTGCCATTTCTTCCAGCTAGAATTTGCCTGTGTTTATTAACATCCTTCTAGGAAGGGTTCAAATGTCTTCTCCAACTATTGTATTATAGTTTCTTTAAAGTGTTCAACACCATATATAAATTTAACAGATTTGATTCCTTTTATAAGCACTTCGAGGGCCCAAATGTCATTATAACGAGCATTGTTTTTAAGATTTTATTTATTTATTTGACAGATAAAGACAGCGAGAGAGGGAACAGAAGCAGGGGGAGCAGGAGAGGGAGAAGCAGGCTCCCCGTGGAGCAGGGAGCCCAATGCGGGGCTCGATCCGAGGACCCTGGGATCATGACCTGAGCTGAAGGCAGACGCTTAACAACTGAGCCACCCAGGCGCCCCTATAACGAGCATTTTAACAACACTTTTAAGTTGAATACCTTATAAATGGAGTCAATCAAACTTTCTTAAACATTTTAGTATTATTACAAATGTAAAAATACTCTTATGCTTTTCAGCTTTGCAAGTCTAAAATTAGTTATATAGTTTAAATTAGAATTGTGTGGCTAATTGGTGAGATTCTACAATATTCCAATTTTAAAAAATTACAAATATTTTAATACCAAGTACATACAGATTTTCCCAATACTTACAAATCATATATGTAACACAAAAATATTTTTGCCTTTCATCTAATTTCCAAGTTTAATTCTAAGCCTTTCCAGGCTTGTAGAAATAAGACCACTGTCTTTTCTTAGACACTGAGAAAAGCAGATTTTAAAACCAAAGACAAGCTGAAATTACTGGATTGATGATTCACCATTTGCTTAACGGTCAAAGATCTATGACTGAGAAAACCATCCTATGGGCTTCTTACTTCTGAAAAGAATCTACTTGAACCACAGAGACATATTCAGAACCATTTTTCAGTCCCCATAACTTCTGGGGTCTCCAAATCCACAATCTTCAGATAGGATTGGCTTATTAAAACAGATTCGAACTACATCCTAAACAGTTCTTTTGTCTGATAGGTAGAAGGAAGTCCTGAGTTGTAGTTAGCTCCCTTCAACAATCTTCTACTGGCTTGTTGAAATTTTGCAATTTTTTTTTCATATTCTTTCTCTCTGACTAGACACAACTCATTTAAATAATACCCAACTAGATTCTGTATTCATCCCATACATATGTCTCGTCTTGTTTGTCCCTAAGGCCAGAGCTCTGTAGTCATGCTCAGGATGGTCTAATTAAATCTAAAAGCTGAGCTGACGGAGGAAGAGAAAGGGATAGAAGACTAACCGAGCTTAACAATGGCTAAATGTTGAAGGTCCTTGTAAACTTTCTACGGGAGTTCAGAATTTATCCTTAAGAGGAAGTATTTTAAGTGCAGGGGGAACATCCTCAGATTTGCCCTAATTACACTGGTCACAATGGCAAGACTGGATTGGAGGAGGCAATATAGGAAGCGTGAAAACCATCGCTATTGCCATAATCTGACTGGTAGATGATGGTGACCTCAACCAAAGTGTTCAACTATGGGAATGAAGAAACATAACAAATTCAAGGGACAACTGAAGGGCAAAAGTGATTGTTGCAAATGGGCAATGAGGGATATGGAAAAGTAAAGACTATACCTATATTTTTCGCTTGGGCAACTTGGTGGACGGTGGTGATGCCACATGCTGAAATAGAAAGTAAGGAAGGTGAGGTTGTAAGACTTGGGGGTGGAGGAGGCAGGGAGCCCGGGAAGGAGAGGGTAGGAGGTACGGAGAGGTGAGGCATTTAATTTTGCACATGAAATTCAATTTGAATTGACTGCCTGTTGAGACATTCACATGTGGACAGATGTACAGTATTCAGTTGAGTCTAAAGGTCAGGTACAAGGTCTATCCTACACAGAGGAAGTAGAGAATCATTAGCATGTGTAACAAACTGTGGAAATGAGTAAACCTCCCAACAGATAATGTAGCTTATGGCTAAATAAATTACTACAATGAAAATTTAACAAAATATTTTCTCTTCACCTGAAGAAAGGAGACAAATCTCCAAGACCATAAAATCATTTCATTTGCACATCATCTGAGTGCTTTGGAGGGTATATATATATATTTTTAATTTAACTGGGTTTTACTGGTTAGCTTAATTTTAAGTAAAATGGAGTAGTGCTTTATGTAGAGGGTTAAGTTGTAAAGCAAAAATTATATTTGAAAATATATTGCCTCGAATACAATGAACATTGAGATCTACTATTTCAATAAGTCCACATAGCCCATTTTTACTTCAACAGTAAAATATGTGGCTGGTTCTTTAATTCAGCCACAGATGAGGAAGTTAGTTTACATCTAAGTGCTACGTGGTATTAAAAAAAAGAAAAAACAAACAAACCTTACCTTTAAGCATAAGAATTATACTCAGCACAATGAGATGCTCATACCATAAGCATAGGGAACATAGTAATGGAGGAAATAGAGGTCAATGTCTCACCCACATTCCCAGTATGAGCTCATTGACGGAATGGGAGGGAGAATCACTCAATAGTTAACAGTGGTAATTTGGGGTGCTTGGGTGGCTTAGTCGGTTAAACATCAGACTCTTGATTTCAGCTCAGGTCATGATCTCAGGGTTGTGAGATTGAGGCCTGCAGCAGGCTCTGTGCTCAGCTTGGGGGGATTTCTGCTTGAGATTCTCCCTCTTCCTCTCACTCTGCCCCTTTCCACCCCCTGCGGTGGGCTCTGCACCCTTCAGCTGTCCCTTCAAATCACATTTCTAATTTTGGGGGAGTCTGCTTGAGAGTCTCCCTCTGCCCCTTTCCACCCTGTGTGCTTGCGCTCTCTCTTTCTCTGTCTCAAGTAAAAAATAAATAATCTTTAAAAAAAAGTAGCAGTGGTGGTAATCTTATTTCTCTCTCATTTGCTGAAAGCATAGAGTTAAATTCATAAGTTAAAGGCATGCATGATCTAATTACCAAAGTTGTCACTGGTTTCAATAGTGACGTTGTCACTCAAAAGAAAGGAGACTAATAATGATTTGTGAGCTTTTAATAGCCTAAGGCTAGAATGAGCATAACTGACACATACCAAAGAAAACTCAAAATTCATGTCATAACTAGAAAGGCACAATAAAAAAATAATAAGTTGTATTAATATTTCCAAAGTGTACTCAGCAATGAAATGTATGTACTTTTGACTCAAAAAACAGGAGTCAGCAAACAAAAAGCCAAGCAGTATGAAGAGTTTGTGCTGTTAAAAAGAATTTTAAAGAACATAACATTACCGGGGGCTAGAAGCTAGTAAAATCATCTAAGTATGTAATATGAAAAACCTGAAAGGTACCAGGATTTGAGGCAAAGCAAAAGGATTAAGATAGAGGAAACTGACAAGTTGGGTCTAAATGCAAGCTAACAGATTCCATGATGTGAATCTGACTTGAAGCAAAGCATGTGTTCCCTGACAAATCCCAGAGGCTACAGGCCCTGGTTTCAGGAGATGGTCACCCTGAGGCAACAATGAAGTTAGGTGAATCCTTACATTTACCTGGGAAGTGGACAATTGCTAATCTTCACTGAGCACTGAGCACAGACCAGGCACAGGTCCCAGCATTTATAACATATTTTCTCATTTAATCCAACAATTCCTCTAAGGTAAACAATAATACTATCATTCCCATTTTACATTCAGGTAAGTAAACAGAAGCCCACTTACCTCAGGTTACACAATCGAAGTGAAACAAATTACAGTCTAATTTCGGCCAGTGCACCAAGCCTCTTAACGCTGTCATTTAATATTATAGGGGAAATTTTGTGTTTCATTGGAAAATGATGCATTTTCAAACGAGTACACCCTTCCAATTCTGGGTTTAGGAGGACTTTGCACCTTTCCTTGCCTTTGAGATATTTTACAACTTTGTAAGTTGTAGAAAGCTGACAGGAATGTGGAATAATTCTTGTCTCCAGACATGTACATAATTTCTGTCCAGTGGAGGTTCAGTTGCCTTCCCTAGGTCACTGGGAAAGAAGCCAGTTTTGTCTCCATTTGCACATTCTTCTCAGTATTCCTTCTCTGTCAATGTTTCTCTTCTTTGGATTGTCCTCTGAACTAATTGTAACATACTATGTTTCCCTCCTTAACAATGTGCTAAATAAAATCTTTACTCACTTTATGCTTATGTATGAGAGTCATGGGTTTACCATAAAAAAATTATCCTTGAACAATATTTATTAAACCTGATTATTTTAGTATCTAACCTGTCCTGTCTTTTTGTTTTTTGTGGTTTTTTTAAGATTTTATTTTAAAATAATCTCTACACCCAACATGGGGGCTCAAACTCATAACCCAGAGATCAAGAGTCACATGCTCTATGGACTAAGCCAGACAAGTGCCCCTACTTTGGTTTTTAAGTACCTTCACTTTTTTTAGACACCAAATGTAACACTTCAAATCCTCACTATAAATATATAAACAATAAAATATATAAAACAATGTAAGTAATTGTAAACAATGAAAAAATATATACAGGAGACATCTAAAGTTCCTATAATCCCAGCTCCTCATGGAAAATTGCTATGGGCAAGTTTGGTACATAGTAGACCAGGTATTTTTCGGTGCTTGCACTATGATATTTCTGTGTAAAATGTTTCTCTATATATAATTATTAACAACGACAACAACAAATGCCATTTTTGTGATGTTCTACAACCTGCTTTTTTTCTGACTGAATGAGTGACTGTCCATGTCGATCTGCATCTCCTTAGAACAGCTTCACAATAGACCATGGTATTAATTTTTTTCAATTAATCCCTTACTAGTGGAATTTTAATTGCTTTCTTATTCTCTATTAAAAACAGTGCTACAGTGAACATCCCGCTCCATCCATCTTGATGCTCTTTCTCTTTTTATAAATTAACTACCCCCGCAAGCTCTATTAATATTGTCAAGCATGTAATTTATAATTCCTCAAGTTACTGCTTCAGTGTCTAGTTAGTTTGGGTATATTTAAGCAAGTTTTCTCCACTTCTGTGTGCATTGGTTTCCTGGTGCTGGGGGTCCTTGGGCAATGCTGATGGAGAACCACTGCTGAATGTGATAAAAATAGTGCTAAGATGGTAAACATGGTTTCAATAGGCAAGTTCATTTCACATGGAAAACACAAAATTTTTCAAAGCCTAGACTAAACCAGGAATTAAAATTAATTAGAATGAATTTATTAAAATTCTTTTTAATCATTATGAAATGGATGCCATTTATTAGAGCATACTAATAAGATTCTAGGAGAAGTATGGCTTGGATTTATTATCATTACTATAATATTTCAGTTATGGGTGTTTTTATCATAGGAAATGTTTTTCTGTGTTAAGACAAGCCAGGGTCGGGGCGCCTGGGTGGCTCAGTCGGTTAAGCCACTGCCTTCAGCTCAGGTCATGATCCTGGAGTCCCGGGATAGAGTCCCGCATCGGGCTCCCTGCTCGGCGGGGAGTCTGCTTCTCCCTCTGACCACCCCCCCCTCATGTGCTTTCTCTCTCTCAAATAAATAAATAAAATCTTTAAAAAAAAAAAAAAAGACAAGCCAGGGTTTTGTATATATACCATTTTAACGAATGCATTGTTCTAGATATTGTATTCAACAAATATTAAATGAGCTCATGTTTATATACACAGCATCCAGAACAGGCTCGAACACATGTTAGCTACCATATGTGTTGGCTTTTTGAGATGGGGTATATTGTAATGGTTAAGGGTGTGACTCTCAAGCGACACCTGAGTTCACATTTTGGCTGCATCACTTAATGGCTTTGTGTTCTTGGGCAAAAGTCCACTTAATTTTCTGTTTCTCAATCTCTAATCTATATATAACAAAAGGATAATGATAGTAAATCTCTTAAATCCTTCTTTAAGAATTTAAAGAGTAAATATATGTAAAGTGCTTTGAACAATGCAATTCTTATTGAGTCCTTGCTATGCTATGCCCTGGGGAAGTAAATTAGGCAAGACAAAAACCCTTGTCCTCAAGTCGGTTACTACAGTTTGAGTCTAAAGACAGATGAAAATAGTTTGGATTTACAATTTGATGTAACTGAGTAGACTAATCACAGGGCACAGCGAGAACATGTGGGGAGGGCCCTAGTTTTGAAGAGTGTAAGTTTCCTAAAGGCAGAAATGGCTAAGCTAACACTTGAAGAACAGGGAGGCGAGAGGAAGAGATTTTTAGATGGGCATAGCAGAGTCAATCTCTTTTAGGTACATTGGGGAACTGCAAGCAGTTTAGTAGGGCTGACTCAGAGAGTGGTGTGGGGGGGATAAGGAGACATGATGCTAAATTGATGGGTAGAGGCTAGATGAGAGAAGCAGTTGGCCATGCAAATGAGTTTAGACTTTATCCTGAGGCCAGAGGGTAAGACATCCAAAAGGTTTTATATACACAAATGACATGATTGGATAAGAGTACTAAAAATAATGAGTCTGATAAAAGGGGTAATGGGGTGATACCTTTGGATATTTAAAAGGTAGAATGGACAGAATTTGCAGCTGCCTGCCTTATGTAGGCAGTGTAGCACACGGTTAAGGGTGTGGCCTTCCTGACCAGACTGATGGGCTACACGTCTAAACTTTTCCATTTATTGTGTGACCTTAGGCAAGTCACTTCAATGCTCTGAACTCCAGGCTCTATAAGACTGGCTAATTGTCACCTAACTACAGGTTTCTTTTATCAAAGAAATTAAATGACATAACGAATACAATGAATACAATGTGTTAGTATTAGATCAGTAAATATATACAGTAACTGAATAGTACTCAAAATTAAAAAAAAAAAAAAAGCAATATAGTTAAGTGGTCAGGCTCTAGTCAGACTCAGGTTTAAATCCCTACTCTGCCATTTACTAGCTGTGTGGCCTTGAGAAAGTTACTTAACTTTCCTGTGCCTCAGTTTTAGTATTTGTAAGATACTGAAAATAATAGTGCCTCTCATAGTGTTTGGTAAGGAAGATATGAGATAATTCAGGTAAAGTGCCAGCACATTAATTCATTTAAACAAATATTTATTGAGTGTATGTACCAGGCACTATTCTAGGCCCTGAGGATAGATAGACATATTAAATAAAGCCAATCAAAACAAAACAAAACCTGCCCTCATGGAGCTTAACTATAGTAAACATCCTGCACATAGGAGTGTTATATATGTTAGAAAGCATCATCCTAAGACAATTTCTGTGGTCCTAATCTAAATTGTTTCTATAAGTTTTATTGTAATAAAAGTAATATTCCACAAATATTTATAGAAGTAATAGGAGGACATAAAGGCACAGTCCAAGATAACTCAGACATTGTAAAGACGCCAGAGATTGGGAAGGGGAAACACCAGTTTGAGGAAAGATCTGCTGATAAAGTTATGAATGCATTACCACCCTCTTTTGTCCAGGAAAAGCTGTGAGAATGTGCCAACACCTGCCTGAAATCTTCCTAAGAAGGGGTGATTATAGCCTATTTGCTTAAACCACGTTAAAACATTTGACGAACGACTTGGAAGAAAATAAACATTAGTATCCTCCTTATAAGATAAGGTATGCAAACACCAAAGAGATTCTATTAGTTCAAATGCCTTTACTGTCAACAGAATCTCGGAGGGTTTTGTCTCCCAACCTTTGAACAAAGACCTGATTAAGCATGGTGCAGCGTAGAATAGCGAGGCCTTGATCCTCCGTTGCTAAGGCAACCAACTCGCCGCCAGCCCCTAAGAGACGGAACCTGAAACCTCAGTGACCCAGGAGGGTGGACACCTTCCTTCTGTTTGTGTACCTGCGTGTGTGTGTGTCACGGATGGGAATAGGCAGGGCATACAATTGTCAATGGGGATGCTAGATACGTCGCCTCTGTTCTCGGTAGAGGGCGCAACAAAAGCAAGTTCCCCCAGAAACAGCAACCCTTCTTTCGCGCCTCACCGCCACAAAGGCGCCCACGACTTCGTTTCCCAGTTTACTTAATTCTGGCCGGAAAAGCCCCGCCCCCCCGGGGGGTGGAAACAGCCCCGCCTCCCAATAGCTTCTCGCGATCGTTAGACGGAGCGAGCTATGGTTAACTTCCGGCCGCGACACCTTCAGCTCTTCGGCGATTGGCCCATTTCCACGGTCTGTGCTTAACTTCCTGTCTGCACGTGTGAAGCGGCCTAGGGAGGCCGCGGAGAGCCGGGCCTTACCGGCGTTCGCGTGGTAGCGAGTCGCTTCTCCGGGACGAGGCGAGTGCAGCCGCCGGCCTTCTCTGGGGTGAGCGCCGCACGGCTGCAACATGGTGAGCAGGTCTCGTTGTCTCGGGGACGAGGCGCTCTGGTTTTGCTGACGGCCAGGCCGGTTCCTTTGGTGCCAGTGGCTACTGAGGGCGGGGACTGGGAGGGCTGGCCCGGAGGTGCCGGGAGGAGGCTTGCGGCCCAGTGCCCCGGTATGGTCACCCTCGCCACCCTGGGCATACTTTGCAGTTTATAGAGTGCGTCTCCCCCAGCCAAGCCTCCCTAGGGAGTGGACAGAGGAGAAGGCTTCCCCTATCCCGAGGGGCCTGGAAACCCGTGAACGCAGGACACAAACGCTCAACCCTGTGCTTCATGCGTTCGGAGGAGGGAGAGTTGGCTGGTTTCTCCAGACGTTGGAGTGGCAGTTGTCTGCTCGTCTGTGTTTGCTCTGGGCAAAGGGAACTTGCGGGAGAGTCTAAGGTTGGGCCCCAAAGCAGAATGGCTTAAAAACTGGGATGATGCTTTCTCAGTTTAGCGAGTCAAGTTGGGTAGGGTAGTGAGAGTGTTAAAAGAGATGATGAATCTTACTTAACTGTAGCTGTGTTGTCCTGGTTTCATTTAATAGTTGGTGCGACAGGTGTGTAACTTGATTGAAATGGTCTTCCCCAGATTTACCTGTGGCAGGTTGTTTGTCATTCTGATTTAATCTGTCAGGGACCTTCTCTGAGCCCACCGTCTAAAGTAACTTTCAGTCCTTTGCACATCACTTTTCTTTACTTAAAATCATTTTTTTGGTGATTTGCTTTGTAAGCATAGGGACTCTGACCTCATTGCTGTATCCCAGCACCCATAACAAGGTTTGGCACAGAGTAAGTGCCATCAAAGATACATTGAAGGAAGGTAAGTGCAGATTTTGTTGAACATTGTTGATGTTGCCTACCATAGAAATGTACGTTTTAGAAATCCGTTGATCCTTCACATAACTTACTGAAGATTCGTATATGGACTGTGGGTTTGTGTGTGTGTTTGTTGTTGTTGTTGTTTTTTTTAATGGTTTGTTCTGATTCTGTTCCTTTGAAGCCTCACAGGAAGAAAAAGCCTTTTATAGAGAAGAAGAAAGCTGTGTCTTTTCACCTGGTCCATCGGAGTCAACGAGATCCTTTAGCAGCAGATGAGACTGCACCCCAGAGGGTTCTGTTACCCACACAGAAAGTAGGTCCTGTTCATTAGCCAATAAGTTTGCAGGAGGACTGTCAGTAGTTTCTAAATAAATTGTTAGCTGATGTTCTGCAACTACTGTGATCTTTTGGGAAACAAAATCTATGACTTAAATTTTCAGTAAATGTGCCGATTTTTTGTCTTGCATATTGGATTGAGAGGGTAAAGCATCTTTATTGGAGATCTTTAAATGAGCACATCTTGTACAGTAATAGTAAATATTTACTAAAACACTTACAATGCTGCATGATATTATTTAGGGCATATCTCTGCTTTCTTAAGATCCTGTCATTTCAAAACCACAAACTACTGTTTTGTCTCCTCATCATTCATCTCATAAGATGTAAAACATTAGAACTCATGAATTAGCTTCAGAAAATGCCAGGAAGCCTTTAAAAGGTTGATTTGATAATTGTCAAGTGTGTAAGTGTGGGAAAATTTGAAAGGAAGTCTTGGGGAACATTGGCCATATTTAGCTTTTTAGTAAAGCCTGTTTGTGTTGTATGTTGAGAAGTTTCTTTGCATATAAATACAAGAAATTGTATTTGATTTTCAAGTTCTTTTAGTCTGTTAACCCTCCCAAGTACATGATAAAACAGTGTGTGTGTTTCTTGGCTTGAATTTTTTTTTAATTGAAGTATAGTTAGATATACAGTGTTACATTAGTTTCGGGTATACAGCATAGTGATTTGACAAGTCTATACATTACACTGTGCCCACCACAAGTGTAGTTACTGTCTGTCACTATACAATACTACTATAGTACCATTGGCTATATTCCCTCTGCTGTACCTTTTATTTCCATGACTTACCCATTACATAAGTGGAAGCCTGTATCTTCTACTCCCCTCCACCCATTTTGCCCATTCCTAACCCCACCCCCACCGCCACCCCCCTCTTCTGACAGCCATCAGTTTTGTTTTCTGTATTTATGGAGCTGTTCTTTCTTTTTTTTAAGATTTTATTTATTTATTTGAGAGAGAGCGCACGCACAAGCCAGAGGGAGAGGGAGAAGCAGACTCCCTGCTTGGGCAGGGTGCCCGACGCAAAGCTCGATCCCAGGACCCTGGGACCATAACCTGAGCTGAAGGCAGACACTTAACCAACTGAGCCACCCAGGCACCCCTGTGGATCTGTTTCTGCTTGTTTTTTTTTTCTTGTTTTAGATTCCACTCTCTGACTTACTTCACTGAGCATAATATCCTCTAGGTCCACCATGTCTCAGATGGCAAGATCTCATTCTTTTTTTTATGGCTGAGTAATATTTGTGTGTGTGTGTATACACACTACATCTTCTTTATCCATTCATCTGTTAGTGGACACCTGGGTTGCTTTCATATTTTGGCTGTTGTAAGTAATGCTGCAGTAAACATAGGAGTCTATATGTGTTTTCAATCAGTTTTCATTTTCTTTGGGTAGATAGTGGAATTACTGGATTGTATGCTATTCCTATTTTTAATTTTTTGAGGAATCTCATTCTGTTTTCCACAGTGACGTGACCAATTTATATTCCCAGCAACAGTGCACAAGTGTTCCCTTTTTTCCACATCCTCACCAACACTTACTTCTTTTTTCCCTATCTTGTCTTGAATTGTTGCACAGAAATGTCCAGTAGAAGCAGGAATTGTTTCCATTCTATTTAAATTTTATGTAGCACTCGGGTTCAGAAACTTTTTTTTTTTTTTTTGAGTTTGTCAAGAATTCTTTGTCTCATTCCTGTCAGCCAAAATGTTCGTGTGCCATGTGCGTCCTATTCTGAAAGCTGTGTTCACTGGAAGGTTCCTATGGCTTATGCTTGGAAGAGGTACTAATTAACATTTTGTTTATTATCCTAGATAAATGATGAAGAGAGGCGAGCAGAACAGAGGAAGTATGGCGTGTTCTTTGATGATGACTATGACTATCTGCAGCACCTGAGGGAACCATCTGGGCCCTCAGAGCTTATTCCCATAAGTATTTTCAGTGCACCCGACAGAAGAGACGAAAAAGAGGAAACTTTAGTAATTTCAGTAAGACTTCTTATCAATATATTTGGGAGTGAGTGAAGAGACCACTTATAAATCAAGATAAGTGAGGCAAGAAATGGTATCAATTTCAAGAATACAAAAATAAGCCATGCCCTAGTGTGTGTACGTATGTACCATCAGTAGAGAGTAGGCTGCCTGTTCTCTGGTGGCAGCTGTCAAAAGTAGCCTTTGGGTGTCTGGGTGGTGCAGTCAGTTAAGCATCCAGCTCTTGGTTTTGGCTCAGGTCGTGCTCTCAGGGTTATGAGATCAAGCCTCAACTCAGGCTCTGTGCTGAGTGCAGAACCTGCTGAGGACTCTCTCTCCCTCTCCCACTCCTCCCTGCTCACATGCACATGTGCATTCTCTCTCTCCCTTTCTCTCTCAAATCTTTGAAAAAAAGTAGCAACCTTACAGGGTTAGAATTTTGATTAATAATTGTGGTCATGTTAGATAGCACCTTTCAGCAGAAGAAAAACAGCTGACATTGTGTGTGTTAACAGCTAATCAGTATCATAAAGTATCTTCTAAGAACTTAATTTTTGCAGAATGTTCAGATCTTTAACAGTCGTAAAAAGCTGCAGGCTAACTATAAAAGAATAGAAGCAGTAGATTGTAATGAAGTTTCTGTGACTCTTCTCAACCAAAATGCAGTCCCCTTTAATATTTTCTTTTAAGTATAAATGAGAGCACATATTTATATGAAATTAACACTACTAATTTAAGTTCTGTTTTTCCCCCATTAATGTTAAAGATGCCCGTGTCTTATGCCTTTATCTTTTTATTTAGTGTTAGTATACAGTAAATTTTTCTATGAAACTTTATATTACTTGGCACTTAAAAAAAAAAGAAGATACTCATTTATTGGGTTTATTAACAAAAAAGAAGAGCTAAAAAGGGTACCAATTTCTCCCGCTTCTCATTCTCCACTCCTCTCATGGTCTAGGCATTCTTTTTCTCAGGGAAGTATAATCATAGCTTCTCCATATTTATTTAGTTGACAGCGAGAGAGGGAACACAGCATGGGGAGTGGGAGAGGGAGAAGCAGGCTTCCCACTGAGCAGGGAGCCTGATGTGGGGCTTGATCCCAGACCCTAGGATCATGACCTGAGCCTAAGGCAGACGCTTAACGACTGAGCCCCCCAGGCACCCCGGGAGAAAAGTCTTAATAAAGTTCTAAGATTCTTCTGGCTGAATTGTATTGGCTTTTGAGAGATTAGCTTTTAATCTTTAATTCATTTTCGGTAAAAGTAATCACTATTTAGTTGGCTTTTTAATAGAGTAAGGCTCTTTTTAATTGTTACGTTAATCACCATACATTACATCATTAGTTTTTGATGTAGTGTTCCATTAGAATAGGCTCTTTTTTTTTTTAAGATTTTATTTATTTATTTGAGAGAGAGAGAGAGAGAAACAGCATGAGAGGGGATAGGGTCAGAGGGAGAAGCAGGTTCCCCGCTGAGCCGGGAGCCCGATGTGGGACTCGATCCCAGGACTCCAGGATCATGACCTGAGCCGAAGGCAGTCGCTTAACCAACTGAGCCACCCAGGCGCCCTAGAATAAGGCTCTTATATGGACACTTCAGTGATGTTTATTATAAGGTTGAGTGAATTATGTTTAAAAACAAAAATTCCCTCTGTTTTCTGTAGCATGATGAAAAAATACGGATGAGTCCCATGTGCTTTTTTGACTTTAAAGTAATTTGTAGGGGCACCTGGGTGGCTCAGTCGTTAAGCATCTGCCTTCGGCTCAGGTCATGGTCCCAGGGTCCTGGGATCGAGCCCCGCCATCGGGCACCCTGCTCTGCAGGAGCCTGCTTCTCCCTCTCCTGCTTCCCCTGCTTGTGTTCTCTCTCTGTCAAATAAATAAATAAATAAAATCTTTAAAAAATAAATAAATCAATAAAATAATTTGTAACAAACCACCCAAATTGAGTAAACCAGAAATATTGAATAAGCCATAGAAACAAAATAAAGCAGTACAGAAGTAGTTCTGTTTAAGCAGCCCAATTGTCACAGGAAAGAAAGCAGGTACCGCTGTGGTAGAAAGCAGCTGGGCAAACTCAACAGAGTGCAGAATTACTGCAAATAAAAAACAAATTTTTTTTTTTTAAAAAAGTAGTCCTATCTAAACTCTAATTGTGTATGTGATTCTTTTTTTTTTTTTTAAGATTTTATTTATTTGAGAGAGAGAGAATGAGAGAACACGAGAGGGGGGAGGGTCAGAGGGAGAAGCAGACTCCCTGCTGAGCAGGGAGCCCGATGTAGGACTCGATCCCAGGACTCCAGGATCATGACCCGAGCCGAAGGCAGTCGCTCAACCAACTGAGCCACCCAAGCGCCCCTGTGTACGTGATTCTTTGACTATTTTTCAAGATTTAAAAAAGATCTCCAGAGGTAAATTCACTAAACACAAGCTGATCCTCCCTTTTTTATAACCCCACATTCCAAAGATAGATAATCACAGGGTATCTTTAAAACAAAGCAGAACAGTGGGGCATCTGGGTGGCTCAGTCGGTTAAGTGTCTGACTCTTGATTTTGACTCAGGTCATGATCTCTCAGAGCTGTGAGATAGAGCCCCACGTCGGGCTGCGAGCTGAGTGTGGAGCCTGCTTGGGATTCTCTCTCTCCTTCTGCCTCTCCCCTCCCTGCTCGTGCATGCGTGCTCTCTTTTTCTCTCTTAAAAACCAGCAAAACCAAATCACATATTTTGTAATTTTTAAAAAGAAATAATGTGATATACCAAAAATCATTAAATCGTGCACTTTAAGTGGCTGAATTGTATGGTTATGTTAATTCTATCTCAGTAAAGCTCTTTTTTAAAAAAAGGACATTATAGTGGAAAACCAGATCTTTCCTATGCTTATGCCACCGAGAAACACACTTTGGAAGCTAAGTTTGCTGGATGTGCACTCCTGTACATAGCTTTTTAGTCATGCTCCTCAGAGGCTTCCAATTTCGCATGCTCCCATGAGCCAGTAAGAACATACATCTCAGCTTTGTGCCTGCTGCTAGACTGAGGATGAGGTGGGTGGTGAGGTACAAGAGACAGATAACATGTGGTGACCCTCACATTGGTAACTGGTTGAAAAGATCACACTAAAGCATAAGGACCAGTCAGTCAGATAATAATGTGCCAGCACGTATTGAGGTGTATTGTGTATGGTGTGAAGAATGAAGGGATTTACCCGAAGGAAAGTTCTAGAAGAGTGATCAAGAAGGGCTTCATGGAGGAGGGAGGAACTGAACTGGGCACTCAAGGTGGGTTGTATTGAAGACAGGAAGGAAACATTCCAGTCAGAAGGGACATAGGTAGTAGTGTGGATCATAGTGTCTGGTGTATATGTGTGCTCCATAAATTACTTTGAATTATTCCATGATGTGAGGAACTGGATGTGATTTACATGGAGGTTATATTATTAAGTAACTAGTAAATTTGGATATATGGAATAGTAAGTAAGCCTTGATTTTACTGACTGTGAAAAAATCAGGAGTGAAAAATCAAAACCTGTTACAAGTTCAAGAAGGTCACATTATAAAATAATAAAGGAGTTTTAATATGGAAGTGATACGAAGGTTGGATTAGGTGTGGACTATCTAAACAGTGGTGGTAGTAATCTGTGTGTTGGTTAGCCATGAGTAAGATGGTGCCCAAAAGACTGATGGGCAATCTTGGTATACAAGAGAATTCAAGGACTACAGAGATGGAGAGAAATGATTTATGACCACCCCAGGATTTAAGGTGGCCAATTCAGAGAAATGCTGTGCCTTTACCAGAGATTGGCGTGTTATCTCATTTTAAGAGGAAAAAGATTAAATTTTGAACTTGAGGCATTACAAAACCTGGATTTGAATCCCAGGACCTGAGTTACCAATTTGAGGCAGGCATGGCATTTGACCTTTCTTAGCTTTTGTTGACTACCGCATGCTGATATCTCACAAGGATTAAATGGAATAATACGCTGGAGGAGGCTTTGTGAAATATTCCAGGGAAACTGCTTGTGAGAGGATGATGGAATATACAGGTTTCAAATATTTTACTGGAGTACAAGTGAGCAAGAAGGCAGGACTTAGTTGTATTCGTTTTCCTAGGACTGCTATTACAAATTACCACACCTTACCACTGGGTGGCTTAAAACAACAGAAATTTATTCTCTCACAGCTCTGGAGGCCAGAAGTCTGAAAGTAAGCTTTCAGGAGTGTTGCTTCCATTGTGGGGGCTCAGGGCAAGAACATTGTCCCTCACCTGTCTCCTTGTTTTTGGTGGTTGCCAGCAATCCGTTGTGTTCCTCGGCTTGTAGATCCATTTTTCCAGTCTGCTCTCATCTTCACATGGCATTCTCCCCCTGTGTATCTTTGTATCATCATGTGGCCCTGTTACAGGGACACACCTATCTTTATGAATTAGGGCCCACTGTAATCCACTGTCACCTCATTTTAACTAATTACATATGCAAGGATCCTGTTCCAGAAGGTCACATTCTGAGCTGCTGGGGGGACATGAATTTTGCCGGGGACACTTCAACTCAGTATAGTAGGTCAGAAGTACTTTTTAATCTAACCATTGTGTAATTTCTCTTTCAAGACCACGGGAATTAAGTTGCCTTCATCAGTATTTGCATCAGAGTTTGAGGAAGATGTTGGATTGTTGAATAAAGCAGCTCCTGTTTCAGGTGTGCTTGATTTCTTGAACTTTTCAAATGACTTGATCTGTATTTAACAAAAAGGAAAGCATAGTAATGATAAAGCTTTTCTCTTTCTAATAAAGTGTTAAAACAGTTGAGATGTCTGAATTCAGATTAGAGGTCATTAGGAAGGGATGAGTGATCGGGGTCCTTTTTTTATTGCCATCAAATTCTTAGTCTTTGGAGTTTCTGTTTGGAGAGGAAAGTGGGAAAATTGGTTTTGAAGATCTAGTAGGGGGATTTTAACCTTGACCTAAACTCTTGCAGAGGAGATGACGATATTCACTTAGCCTTAACATACATATAGACTTAATCATTTCTTCCAAGAGTATAAGTATTTTATAGAAGTCCATTTTATCATCTGTTCCAGATACACTGAAAAATTGTTTGGGGTTTTGTTATTTGGATTTTTTGCAGTATTAATATTGTATTTTAGAACAAACACAGAAGTGATGTTTGGTATTTTCTCTTGAATTGCCTTAATTATTAACCAGTATTTGCCACGTAACATTCATTCATTTATTCCTTCTGTAGATTTTTGAGTTGCCACTATACAATGGGGTCTTGAGTTAAATCAGATTAAGCATAATCCCTGACCTCAAAGAATTTATCATCAGTTGGGAAGGATAGACAATAAATAGGAAATTACAATTACAGTACGAATGAATAAATAATGGTTTAGTTAATAGTGGGCAAGGTGTCCTGGAGAAAATGGTGTCTAAGGTGATTTCTTAGGTAGAAGGTAGGTCGGTGGGTAAAGGAGGGTGGGGTGGGGAGGAGAGGCTATTTCAAACAGGAAACTGTATGTGCAAAATTGAGAGAACATGAATAGGAGACCACATTTTAGCATGCCTAGAATGAATGGTAAGAATTAACATGAAATGAGTCTGGAAAGTCAAGCAGTGGCCATGTTATGAGGGATGTTGGAAGCCATGTCAGTTTACAAGGTTGAACTTGAAGTTTTTTGTGGACTCTCTTTTTACACGCAAAAGACCATAGCTGAAGAAACAGGTTTAGGATTTATTAAAATCTCCTAGGCTGGAAAGACAGTTCATCAGGCTACACATGCTTAATTTGAGTTACTTCTAACAGGTAAATTTAAAGCCCAGATTTTTCCTGCAGGTGAAAACCTTGAATTTTACTAAATAGACACAGTTTAATATTGCAGATCTATAATGCAAGAGTTTTTACAATTGGGTACTGAAACCAGAGGTATTTTTCCCCCTATTTTATTTTCTTGCAGTCGTCCCTGTCTGTTCCTCACTAGACCAGACTTGAAGTTTTTAATCATTTTTTAATTCTCAATACATAAGTAGAATGTGGCATATGATAGCTACTCAAATTGTGTTAAGTAAAGGAATCATGTTTTCTTGGGAATTACTGCTCAATTTTTGTTTTCCTTCTAGGACCTCGGCTGGATTTTGATCCTGACATTGTCGCAGCTCTTGATGATGATTTTGACTTTGATAATCCAGACAATCTGCTTGAAGATGATTTTATTCTTCAGGCCAATAAGCCAACAGAAGAAGAGGGAACGGATATACGGTATGTGTGGTTTCTTTCGAATCAGGGATGACCTGATTATTGCTTATTCAGTAGGATGTACCTATAGAATGTTATAACTGGAACAGACCTTTGAGAGCATTTAGTGTTAGATTTTTGTATTTTAGAGCAGAAAATGTGAAACTTGAGGTCTTTACAAACCAACAATAGGTGGGGCTAAAGTCCAGGTTGCCTGATTGCTGGTTCATTACTTTTCCAGCCCTACCAGACAGGTCAAGCAGCACAGCTGTTACTGCCTAAACAGGAATCCAGTATTTCAACCCTCAAATTTTACTTGTGTAAAGTCATTTGGTTCTGTTGTTTCTCAAGTTGTTTTGACAGTTAATTTATGACTCTGACTTAGGAAATCTGAGGCCGAAGATGACAGTGAGTGGGAAGACATGGATGATGAGAAGGAAGGAGGTAGTGATGACGATAACTATGGCTCTGCGGGCTCATCAGATGAGGCCATGTCTGTCCCTGGAAAACCTCCTGGGACTGTAGAAAATCACTTATTCTGGGAAGAGGAGACGAAAAGTCGCTTTACTGAATATTCTTTAACATCCTCAGTTATGAGGAGAAATGAACAGCTGACTCTTCATGATGAGAGATTTGAGAAGGTAAGGTCCCCAAATAAGGGGCCTTTTAATACTAGTTCCTGGTGAATTTCATATGACCTTAGAACTCAAAGCCAGAACTTTCGGCATTAGAAAGAGCTTATGTCTTATTAGAACAGACCATAAAACCATCCTAGCTTTAGTTCTGGAAAGAATGCATATAGGTCAGAGATGGCTAATGGAATCTCTGGACTTTCCTCAGAGAGGTTTGACATTTTGATTCTGAACCTCTGACTCCAATCCCCAAGATTATGCTGTTTTCCTAAAGCATTGGTCTGAGCATAAACAAAATTCCATTGCTTTCAGTTTTTTATATGTGTTTCCTCACTGACATATCCCAAGGTCTAACATGGTGTCTGGCATATGATAGGAATTCAAACTATTCAGTAAATGATGAATGAATGAATGAATGGTTTCCTTCAAGGTGAATTTAAAAGGTTCTAACTTTGCTACCTTTTCACTAAGTACTAGCAGGCAAACTATTACAAATAACTTCACTCTTCAGGAGTCACACACCCTCTGTTTACCCTTAACAGCATTCTGGTAATATAGTAAACATCATCTAAACAATGAAATTTGTATTTATTTTTATTCATTTTTTATTTTTTTAAGTAGGCTCCATGCCCAATGTGGGGCTTGAACTCAACCACCCTGAGATCAAGAGTTGCATGTCCTATCTACTGAGCCAGGCAGGCACCCCTGAAATATGTACATTTAAAGGAGACTGTTCAGTTATATGGTCTTTTACTTTGCATAATTAGTGAATTTGAAAGCATCTGTAAAATATTCTGAGGTAAAGATTTCTACTTAGCTTTGCTTTCCAAGCTGAGCAGAACGATTGTCTTTCATTTTCCTATTAAATGGCAGCCTATTTTTGGGGTGCCTGGGTGGCTCAGTCGCTTCAGTGTCTCTGACTCTTGATTTCAACTCAAGTCACCATCCCAGGGTTGTGGGCTCAAGCCCTGTGTCCTTTGCACTCAGCAGGGAGTCTGCTTGAGAGTCTCTCTCCCTCACCCTGCTTCCGTTCTTTCTTTAAAATAAATAAATTGGGGGGGGGGGCGCCTGGGTGGCTCAGTTGGTTAAGTGACTGCCTTCGGCTCAGGTCCTGATCCCGGGGTCCTGGGATCAAGTCCCACATCGGGCTCCCTGCTTGGCAGGAGTCCTGCTTCTCCCTCTCCCACTCCCCCTGCTTGTGTTACCTCTCTCTCTCTCTCTCAATTAAATAAATAAAATCTTTTTTAAAAAAAATAATTTTTTTTTTTTAATGGCAGCCTTGGGGCACCTGGGTGGCTCAGTCATTAAATGTCTGCCTTCGGCTCAGGTCATGAACCCAGGGTCCTGGGATCCAGCCCCGCATCGGGCTCCCTGCTCCACGGGAAGCCTGCTTCTCCCTCTCCCACTCCCCCTGCTTGTGTTCCCTCTCTCGCTGTGTCTCTCTCTGTCAAATAAATAAAATCTTAAAAAAAAAAAAAAAAAAAAGGGCAGCCTGTTTTCAGGCTAAGTGTTAGTCTTAAAGTACTGGGTAGAATGTCTTCCACATTCTGTTGTCATGGTGCTAATCCCTGCTAATATTATAATGGTATTTATGATCTCAATGGTAGTGCTTAAATATTGTGTAGGATTAAAAATAATGTAAAAAATCGGGGTGCCTGGCTGGCTCAGTTGATGGAGCATGTGACTTGATCTTGTGGTTGGGAATTTGAGTCCCACTTTGGGTGTAGAGATCATTTAAAAAAATAAAATCTTAAAAAAAAAGATTAAAAATAACATTTTAAATGTTACAGTCTTAATACATTATTTTTCATGGCATCTTTTCTCTCTGTATTCAAGTTTTATGAGCAATATGATGATGATGAAATTGGAGCTCTGGATAATGCTGAATTGGAAGGTTCCATTCAAGTAGACAGCAATCGCTTAGAGGAAGTCTTGAATGACTACTACAAAGAGAAGGCAGAGAAGTATGATGACTTTTCCTTGCTTACTTTTTTGCATTTTTAAATAAAGTCTGTATTTGGACATCTGAATCTAGAAAATTATCCAGTCAGAACCTATATTAAGAAAATGGTATGTTTTGGGATGCCTGGGTGGCTCAGTCTGTTAGGTGACTGCCTTTGGCTCAGGTCATGATCCCAGGATCCTGGGATTGAGTTCCCCATCAGCAAGTCCTCCTTGCTCAGTGGGGGGCCTGCTTCTCCCTCTGCCTGCTCTGCCTGCCACTTGCCCTGCTTGTACTCTCTCACTATCTGACAAATAAATAAATAATCTTTAAAAAAGAAAACAATGGTATGTTTTTCCATAAACTTTGACTCACATTTTGATACTAAGGTTCTGAAGCTGACTGTAACATTGAGTGGGAACCTACTGAGAACCACTTTTTCTATGGCTCTGACCTAAGAGTCATGATGGAAGAGCTAGGGTTAGAGTTGGGGGTGCGAGGTCACATTCCACTTGGAGAATGAGGTGGTGCTTTTAGCCTCTTTGGCTGAAAAGTTAGTCTGACCTCTAATTTTCATCTTTTTAAAATGCCAGGTATTCTGAGAAGTTGATATTTATGGCTCATGGAAAGATAAGAGTTTGTCTTTCCAGCCATGTTAGCATAACTTTACAGCCAAATATTTGACAAATCAGCTCAGCATCCATATTGAGGTGATTTTTCTGCAAGAAACTAATGAGGGGTTTACATTTGCTGGAAGGGTCTGATATTCCATGATCACCATCATTTGCAGATCCTGCTAAGACAAGGGCTATGCATTTTGAGTGGATATATGACTACTTTGGAGAGACAGATGGGGTAATGCTTTTTGAGGCTTTAAAAAAAAACCATGTTTTAGGAAAGTTGCCATCTTGTTCAGTGTGTTATAACCCTGCAAAAATCCCTTTTCTGTCAGCAGAATGAATGTCCAAAACCTGCTGGAGGGGAGAATTGGGGCTGGGGGGAGCTAGGATTTTTTTAAAATGCTATTGTTTCCATAGCTCTTCAAGTGCAGTTTTAGTAACAGTATAATAATGGGTGTTTTTTTCCCCCCTCTTTTGTCTTCGTTTTTGAAAACTCAACCACAAGTTGTGTAAAACTGAATACTCTTGAACCCTTCGAGGATCAGGACTTGCTAATGAATGAACTTGATGGGTCTGAGGAGGAAGAGGTTATTACTGTAGTTCTTGAAGAAGCCAAAGAGAAGTGGGATTGTGAATCTATTTGTAGTAAGTATTGTAGTGTCCATTTTACTGCTAAAGGTATGATAGTAATTTTAAAGTATTGAGTACATCAATTTATTAAAAAAGTACACGTTTTGTGAAAATGATTTGGAAAAAGTAATATTCCCATTACTAAGTTGCAAACAATTTAAAAACACTTAGAAGAGAGACCATTGTTATTTTGAACTATGAAAACATCAAAGTTGGGGATATAATAGGAACTCAGTAATGTTTTGCTGAATTGAAAGTGTACTTATTGGTACGTTTGTTTTTTTAAAGGTACATACTCAAATTTATATAACCATCCACAACTTATCAAGTATCAACCAAAGGTAAGTCCTAGGGTCCTGAGCTATTTGAAGTATGCAATGCAGAAAATGGAACGTACAGATTATTTTCTCACAGTGGCTATATCCCTTTGTGGCTGCAGCACTATTAGGAAAAGCAACAACAGTGTGTCATTAGTGAACTGTTTTTTAATAGGAATGGGAAATGACCTTAGTATGACTTTATCTTTATTTCAGCCCAAACAAATCCGAATATCTTCTAAAACAGGAATACCTCTCAATGTCTTACCTAAGAAAGGACTCACAGCAAAACAAGTTGAACGAATGCAGATGATTAATGGCAGTGATTTGCCAAAGGTGTCAACCCAACCTCGGTCTAAAAATGAAAGCAAAGAAGATAAAAGAGCAAGAAAACAAGCTATAAAAGAGGAACGCAAGGTAATGGAAGATGTACAAAGAGCTCATGGTGGGGGGATGGTTTTGGAAATTTTCTGTAAAATTAGTCTTCATCAGTTAAAAATTTGAGTAACCCGAATGTATTCTTATACAGGAACGGAGAGTGGAGAAGAAAGCTAACAAATTAGCCTTCAAACTGGAGAAAAGAAGGCAGGAAAAGGAGCTCTTAAACTTGAAGAAGAATGTTGAGGGGCTAAAGCTATGACAGTAGAACATTTAGGATAAGGTGCCTTCCCCGCTGGGGCTCCTCGTTATGTTCAGTATTGAACAGGGATCTTCAGAGAGACAAAATTATTTAATCTGCCATTTTTACTGGCAGGTATTTATACCACCAAGTTTTCTCTGCCATCTGTCTTGTAAATATTGTAACATTTTAAAACTTAATATTATAAGCTTAGAATTTGCTCTGAAATAAATGATTTCACAAATGTGAAATGTTTGGATGAGTTGAAGGAAAATATCTTCATAACATAAATGGAATTGGTGTATTCTTCATTTATTTGTATGATTGTCCCAGCTGTCCTTTGCAGATGTTCTCAAATATGTCTTTGAAACCTTTCCACTCCTTTTCAGGAGTTAAGTGGTTTAATTTGCTGTATGTAGAAAAGTGACCTCATTAAACTCCATTTGAAATGCTGAGTGGTTAAGAGTTTTCCTGAGAAGATTCCACTGGTAGGAACTAAGTTTCCCCCTGCTGTATGCAAAGGGCTGTTTCAAAAGGATGGCAAAAATGAATATTTATTAGGATTGTTGGGACTCATTTACTGGATGACTTACTTTTGGAATTTAAGAAGAGTGAAGACAGGAAGCAGAAGCAGAAATTAAGAAAACGTCCTTGGCTTCAGTGAGTACCTGGCTCAAAATCAGAAATATTTACTTCAGTTTAAACTAGAAAGTTTGTCTTTTCAACATTATTTAATGCTTGGAACCATTCATATTTGATTAAAAGATGCAGTTGAAAATTTTCCTTGTTTTTTGGTGAGGTTTGTTTGGTGTTTGTTTTTTTCCTGTAAACTTTTTCAAGGCTTAAGCAATGACACCATCACAATTGTTAATTATTTGGTAAACTGTGACTCCCTTGCAACAGACGAGTTGTTAGTGACCCTTGTTCATGTGTCCATGACTAATGTGTTGCTATCTGGACTGTTCTGGGGGCGGAAAAAAAGACACAAAAACTGGACACTCTTGGTCGGAGTTGGGAACAGAATGGCAGAGGCAGAACCATTTTTAGCTGGTGAGCTGCATTTGATAACTAAATTACTAGAATGTGTCTTCTATGATTCATTTGAATATGGCTTTTCCAAAGTTGGTGGGTGTTACCTTGTTTGTTTTAAATTGTAAATCTTAGTATTCTAGGATTTTTAAGAGCTATGAAAAACAGTAGCCTTAGGTATTCAACCAACATAGCTACAAAAAACTCAGCTGAACAGCTTGTCATTATAGAAGTAGAATCTAACTGTGGAGTATGTATTTTAATGCTGATTTGCAGAAGCCAAGGGTCAGATGATGGTTTATGTTAGTATTGTGAATGTATTAAATCCTAAGAAGGATGACCATTTATTTTGGTAGCTATCTCAATTGAAGGTTCTTAAAACCAGCGAGAATCTTAAAGACTTGGAATATTATTTTGACTTGATGCTATTCAAATTCCTTCTTAGGAGCTTCTAATATCACTTCACCTATCCAAAGGGTTTAAATCAGCACATTATATATTTTGCAGTCAAGGAAAGGTGACTATTAGTCATGAGTCTTACTGAAGCATTATTGTGATTTAGGCTGATAAGCCTCCAGATTTAAAGATCTTAATTTTATTCTGGAGAACAAACCTTACGTATTCTGAATTATTTTTTAGAATTTTAGAGTATTTACGATTTGAGTTATCTCTAACAGTGGTTAGGAACTTAACATAAGGTCCTAGCAAATGTTGGAAGTCCAGAGCGACAAGGGGGTTTTTGCCTTCAAGGACTGCATTTTCTGAGGAGGCGGGGTGTGTGCAGCAAAATCTAACTAGCAACACCAAGTCACTGATAAAGTACCACTTGAAATGAGGGTCTTGGTACTTGCTTTTCCCCCTGAAGAGCTCTTACTGCAAATAAAACTTCCTCAAGGTTGGTGTTCAGTTGTCACTTCCACTATAAGCTTTCACCTGACTGTGTAAAGATAGCAAAATCCCTCTGTTGCATTTTTTAAGCTTCTTCCCTGCTTTATGGTCTCCATGGCATCTCTTGGCATCTGAGCTGTATCTTGTTATTCAGTCTCCTCTCAGTAGAACAAACTGAGAGCAGGGAATTTTTATTTACTACTTTATCCCCATGGCCTAGAACAGCTCCTGGCATTTGGTAAATGATCACTAGGTAGTATATAAATGAATGGATAGGGAAGAGATTTCACCAAAGAATTGCTTAAACTTGGAACGATAGGACCTAGACTCAATATTAGCTAGGAGAAAGAAGGCCTAAGGCATCCCAGGTAGGGGCAAAGTCATGAAGAATTTGCCTGCAGTGCCTTAAGCACCTCTTTTGTATGAGAACTTAATGCTTATTAGAAAATCACTTTTTTAGATATTTTAGAGCTGTTTTTTTATAAGTCTTACATATCAAAAGCTATCACTATTTGTGTATATTAACTGTGGTCCATTGTATCCACACCTCCCTTGTGACATCAAATGATCTCAGGTGAACGACAACTCCAGCCATCTTGTAGCTTTACAGTTAGATTATCAGTACATTTATGTTGCTTTTTCCTGTGTGTTAATATGTTCTATCCAGCTTGTTGTAGTGAAGGGTCAGGAGAAGGTAAACATTCTAATGGCATTACGTTTTAATTGTTAAACTTTTACGAGAATGTATAATAAAACAAAAACATGGCACTGTTCAGGTTAAGAAATAGAACATAGAAGCCACCTGTGGTTCCATCCTCAGTTTCATTTCACTCTTTCCCCTCAGTAACTCTTAAGTATTATCTAGGTTGTATTAATCATCAGCTGTATGGTATTCCTTTTTTTTTAAATTAACATATAACGTATTATTTGTTTCAGGGGTACAGGTCTGCATTTCATCAGTCTTCCACAACACACAGTGCTCACTATAATACATACCCTCCCCAGTGCCACCCCATCCCTCCACAACTCTCAGTTTGTATAGTATTCCTAAGCACAATATCTTGTTTAGTTTTGAAACACAAATCTGGCTTTATAAGGGCAATATTTACTACCAGTTGATGAAGGCATCCTTGAGCTGAATAGTCTCTGAGCCTGAGTTTAGCTTCTAGAATTTACAAGAGCCCCAAGAGGAGATGTTGAGCTAGGTGATTGACTCCTAGGGAACACAAGTGACCACAGCTGGAGCATCCTGGATCTCCTGTAGAAATATGTTTAGTGGTTATATGCTCATTTTACATTTTACATCATGGTGATGTCAAGATCAATGCAGAACCTTCTTGTGGAGTGAAAGGAGTGTCCTCCACTCATCTAGATGTCAGAATAAGAAGGGAAGAACAAGCACTCCAATGGGACAGGGTCAAACAAGCCAAGTGTAGAACAGTGGGAGCCAGATACACTAGGACATACTAACCTCAGATTACAAAGACAATGAATATCATGCTCATGACAGACTTCAACATGTCTGTTTTTCATTATATTTCTTCAGTATGGACTAGTTGCTCTCTGGTTCTGGTTCCCAGCTGTTATCCTGAGAATTATTTTCTCTCCCTCATGTGTTGAATTGCCTATTTGCTGTATATTTTACTCACGTTGTTTGTTGTGAAGCACATCCTCTAGTAATTGTTGAGATGGTGCGTGGGATGTCAACTTTTTTAAATCCTGCATGTTGAGAAATGTACTCAACCCCCATATTTGGTCAATAGTTTGGCTGGGTATGAAACTATAGGTTGTAGATTATTCTCCCTCAGAAGTTTAAAGGATTTTTCCTCATTCATTTCCAAGTTTACTGTATGGGAATCTGAAGTCATTCTAATTCCTGATATTTTTGTCAAGTATTTTTTTTCATCTCGGTAGAATCTCTGTTTCCAGAGTTCTGAAATTTCACAATGATGTTATAGATAGATTTTCATCCATCATGCTGTGTCTTTTCAATGGAAGCTCCTGTCCTTTCAAGGCTTCTGGAAATCGTTAAATTTTTTTATTTTCTTCCTTGGGTTTTCTCCTTTTCTCTCTTGAACTGTTATTTGGAGTAGGACCTTCTGGACCAGAGAGAGATACTTGAATTATGTTTTTCTTCTCCCATCTCTATGCCCTTTTACTTTACTTTCTGAGAAATTTCCCTAATTTTATCTTCCAATCTTCCTTGAGTTTTTTCATTTCTCCTGTAAGGCTTTTAATTTCTAAGAGTTTAATTTTTCTTTAAATTGCTTTTTTATTTGTTTTGGGCTTACATGCTAGAGTTTTTCCACAGATCTTTGGAAATTCCTGTCTGTTGGCTCATGATTAAGACTGGAGGAAGGAGACACTGGAAATTCTGAATGGATAAGTGGCATTTTATGATTTTGAGCTTTATTGTAGAGTGGTCTGGGTGAGCTGTTTGGGAGTCTTCCCAGTGTTGGTATCTACAGATATATTTTGTCACGGAATGGTTAGATTCTCCGGGAAGTTTCCATTCTGTCTTGAGAGTAAGGGTCTGGCAGACAGAGTTCTCTGAGCCAAGTAGAGGAAGGAGGTTTGAGGTGTATTCTCTGCTTTCAGCATCACTCTTCATGAGAGGAATCACTAGATTAATCACTGCATACATACGCACACATCAACTTCATTAATCAAGTTCTTATCTGCAAATTTGCCTATTTGCTAAAATTTGAAACTCTAAAATCAATACGCATGGTGTTTTCATGGTCATTCACAGACCTGCACATAGCAGTTAAAAGGTCGAGTCACCCGACATGCATGTTCTCAGCAAAGGTGAAACAGGGTGATGCTCTCTCTGCCTTCTTGTTTCAGCTCTCATACTGTAAACAAGTGTCCTTTTCACAATCTATGCCACATTTTTCATGTTTTCACAATTTTTCTTGGTGATTTCACTGTTTAAAATGGCCCGTAAATGTTGTGTTGAAATGCAGGAAGGCTGTGATGTGCCTTATGGAGGAAATGTATCTGTTAGATAAGCTTCATCGAGGCATGAGTTACAGTGTTGCCCACTATGAGTGTTCACTGTTACTGAATCAACAATATATATTTATGCAAGGTGTCTTTAAATAGAAAAACAAAACAAGGTTGTACATTGATAGGTTGATAAAAATAGTGTGACCAGAGGTTCACAAGAGCCTAATCCTATATTCCCCCTAGAAGTATTAAGTCAGTATTTGCTCATTCAGTGCTCACAGAGGCTTTATGGAATATAACTACTACAAATAATGAGTCAACCATAAATATGTGTATATATCTATATCTGCCTACCTGTACCTTCAGCAGTGCCTCATGCATAGGCCTCTGTCATTTTTGGAGAATAGACTTAATGCTAGAGTTGGAGAGGGCAGTCACCCAGGGGGTGTAGAGTGAGGGAGGGGATCCAGGAATCAACTTCTTTTCAGAAAACTTTCATCTTGTCCCTCCATATTTTAGCACGCTCTTCCGCATTTATCTCATCCCAGTCCCAGAGGTATATGCTGCTCTGGGGATTCCTGTGACTTTGAAGGGTTTAAGATAAAAATCTTGATGGTTCGTTCTCCCTACTGTCAGCTTGGGAAGTGGATTCTAATGTAGTTTTAAGTCCTCCAAGTCACCATGTCTGTCAGTTTTCCAGAGTCAAATTTTTTTTTATTGTCTTTCTTCCCTGATCTTGCCGTTTTCTTTGTCTCTATTTTCCTTTACTGTAGTTTTTTGGGGCTTCGGTGGAAAGCAAAATTTGATGGAGTGTTCTCTCTGCCATCCTTAATTCCTTTTCTTCTTTCAGAACTCACGTTCCTGAGGTAAGTGAGTAAGTTGAGGCCAATATGCTACCCTCTTTACCATAGGGCCATGGAAGATGTCGATGTTGCTAATGTTTGTATGTTCTGGATTGCAAAGGACTTAAGAGTTCTTTGACTTGCTGACAACTGAATGAGAAAATGTCTTCCTTTTGTCTTCTCTACTATGCCTTTATAAGGAAATGTGGATTGGTAGGTGTGTGCACAAAGCATTCTTAACTTCCAGCTCAGAAAGTGAATGTCTAGTCAGAAGTAGAATTTTTTCCAATTTCATTATAGCCATAATCCTCTCCAGGCTTCTTATAAAATTTTTGAACTGAGATCTTTGTAATGCTTATTTTTCACTATTAACATGCTAAACAAACCTTTTGATGGCTTCCAGGTCACTTTCTTTCCCTCATTGAAAAAATTGTCTAAGATTTTAAACCAAAGTGTAAAAATAATAGCCAATGTATAAAAATAATGGCCACTTTATAGTCTATTAAGTAAGAGAGGGTAAAGATAGAAATAGCTAAGTTGATACTGATTGTTTGAGAATCTTTTCTATCAAAAGGTTCTTTTTTAAAATGTCATTGTTTTAATTCTTAAAATGATAATAATCTTTGTAGAAAAATTGAAAATGCAGGAAACTAATCACCTTTACTCTTAACCGCTGTGTATACACACACACACACACGTACATATCTATGTAACTCGTAGTCTTTATTTGTATAAAAATGTATCATTAACATTTTCCAGGTTTTTCTCCTGCAAATCCTTTTTAATCACTACATTCTCATTCACTGGTTGGCAACCTATTTCTTAGTATGATTTTTGGCTTTGCAGGCCATGTGGTCTCTGTTAACTACTCAACTCTACTGTTGTAGTGTGAAAGCCGCAATAGACATGTAAACAAATGGGTATTTGCCAATAAAACTTTATTTACAAAAACAGAGCTTCAGATTTGACCCACTGGTCACAATTTGCTCACCCCAGATATTTCTTTAAACTTCTTATTTTGACAAAATTAGTGCGCAAGAATTGCAAAATAGTAGAGTTCCCACTCACCTTTTATCCAGTTTCCCCAACTTAAGTTACAGCTTAAATAACTCGTACAATATCAAACCCAGGAAATATACATGGGTACAATGTGTATTTATAGTTCCATACCATTTTATTACATGTGTAACCACCACCCACCACCACAATATGGTTCTAGAACTATTCCTTTTCTCCTCCCCCCCCATTTTTTTTTTTTTAAAGAATCTCTACATCCAACATAAGGCTCGAAGTTACAGCCCTGAGACCAAGAGTCCTATGCTGTATCAACTGAGCCAGTTAGGTGCCCCCATAACTATTCCACTACTCAAAGGTCACCCTCATTCTACTCTGTATAGTCACAACCATCTCCCTCCCCGACCATCCCTCCCTGTTGGCAATCACTAATCTATTCTCCATCTCTCCAATTTTGTCATTTTGAGATTGTTCTACAAATGGAATCTTACAATACGTGACCTTTTGAGATTGGGTTTTCTCAGCATTGAGATCCATCCAGGTGTTGCATGTATCAATAGTGTTCTGTTGTTGAACAGTATTCCAGGGTTTGGATGTAGCTGTATAACCATTCACCTGTTGCAAGGCATTTTGGTTGTTTTAAATGATTCTTCTAAGGTTCTAGTGATCACATATTCCATGTGACACAGCATTCTGTCACAAACACGATAGACCTTGATCTCCATGTTTAATTCGACTGAGTAACTCGGCAGGTGTTCCCTTCCTTACAGTCAAGCTTCAGAACTGAAAGTGGTTCAGAAAGCGGTAGTCCATCGATTTCAGGTGTTCAGTTGAATCCTATTGTATCTGTCATTCTTTTAAACTCATTGAGCTAATTAAAACTCACTGATTTAAATCAGAGGCTATTTATCCTTCAGGAACTTCCATTTGTATTGCAGGTTAGTACCAGCATACCTATATTTATGGTGATGGTTGAATGCAGTTTTAATACTTGTGGAGATAGAAACCTAGGTTTGAGTCTCCATGTTACCATTTAACTACCTGTGGTCTTTGAGAAGTCCCCTAACTTTGAACCTTTGTTTTCTTACCTGTTAAAAAAAAAAAATAGTCCCAACTCTGTGAGGAGTAAATGAGATTATTGTAGGAAAAGTGCTTAGGAAACAGGAAAATACCATACAAACGTTACAGTACTATTCATAAAAATAAAAATCATCTTCCATTAGTGGTTTAGAAAAAGCAGTTTTATTATTAAAATGAGTCCTTTTATTAACTAGTAAGTATATGCTTGCTGAAAAAAAAATAAGACTCCGTTTTACAGAGTTAGAAGGCCAAAAGAACAGAGAAGAAGAGTAATATTTCTATATGCTGTAATGGATGACCTGTGTTGCAGATACAATACCATCTGGCAGATGTGAGAAGAAATCATTTAAATCAACAATGTCTGTAATGAGCTACCATCTGATTCCTGTTAATCAGTCCTTCCTTTTTCAAACTGTCTTCTCTTGGTTTCCATGACCTTGTTCTCTCCTGTTTCTCCTTCTGGCTTATCATCCTCATCTTCTTGGCCCTTAAATACGGAGTTCCCTAGGGATCATCCCTGTACTTCTCTTTCCATGACCTCTTCCCTGGCAATATCATGCCTTTACATCACTCTCCAAACAAAGCCTACATCTGTGTCTCTAGCTCTGACCTCCCTCATTTCCATCCTGCTGGCTGGATGACTCTCTCAAACTCAGTATTTCCAAAGCTGAGATCATTTTTCTTACTAAGATGGCCCTTCTTCTCAAATTTTGTTTCTGTCCACAGCCCGACCCTCTTCTCAGTCCTGCACTGTTCTCTTTGTCACCTCACTCCTTCTACATCTAGTCATGTTGTCAATTCCTTGAGCACAGTGTCTCTCATTTCCTCTTTTCTTTCCATTTCAGGCCTACACCTTTAGCTTTTTAACTGAAATAGCATCTTCCCTCCCCACTACCATCCATTCAGCTGTCCACAGCTCTGTTCAGATTCTTCCTACTCAGTGTCCCTGATTGTTCCCCTTGTTTGTAGAATAAAGCCCAGATTATTAGTCTAATATAACATCATCTCCATGATCAGCTTTTCTAATCTATATGCTCAACTCCAGATGAACTTAAAGTAATGAGGTGAAACCTTTACAGAATTCCACAATGTTTTCCTTTCCTTGTGACACTTAACTTCATTTAATGGCACACTCTCTCTCCTTTTCTCTGCTGGACCCATGTATGGTTTCTCTCAATATTTCCACAGAGTTGCATGTAGCAGGTAGTTACAGAATGAAGTATTGGTCCTAAGGTAGGAACTCAGTTGGTGTTTGGCCCACACATTCAACAAGTATTTTATTGTGCACACCTTACTGTGGGTCAGGTACTTTGAGACATGGGGCACATGTGGGTGCAGTCTCAGCCTCTTTTTTTTTTTAATTGACTTTATTCTTCATTTAACTTTTAAAAACACTAGTTGAATATTAAAAACAATAGCAAGTAGTGACCTCATTGTGATTACAGCCCCTCACTCATTCACTACTGCATATAAAATGCTAGCAGTGAGTGTTACTCACTGACCTCATTAAGAAGTCTGACCAAACACCCCTCCTTAGGATGTTGCTCATCTTCCCATCCTTCTGCATTGTAATGGTACCATCTTTCCTGATTTGGATAGAAGTCCCATTAGTTCTACCTGGTCCATTTCATCAGTATCTTATACTCCCTTCCTCTGAGGTAGGAGTTTTTCCAGCAAAGAGCATTTATTGAGAGAGTGCCATTCTCAGGAGATTTTAAATTTGATGATTAGGTGACTTTTCATATGATCTGTGATAAATTGTCACACCTTCATTTAGCACACACATAGGCCTTACATCCTAGTAGAAATCTTAAAAATGTTACCATTAGATAATTTATGACTTTATACTAAAGTATTAACTTTGCATTTATGTCTAAAGCAAAGCTATTAGGCACTTAGTTCAGGAATATGTTAAAGAATTGTACTCTGGTTGCCTGAAGGACATGGAATTTACCTGTTAGTGAAGTGAGAAGTCTATATTAGAAAAAAAAAGATGGTTGAGTTCATGAAGTATCTTCCTAAGAGAAGGAAGTTGGTGGGGAGGGAAAAGAGAGTGAGGCGATCAAGCTATCGAGGTCCCCTCCAGTTAGTCATTTCTTCTCGGGCAGGCAGTTCCACGAAACTAACATCATGTGCTTTTGGATCTTATACAGATGGCAATCGGGAGTTACTTCCCTGTGAAGTCTGTGGAAGACGCTTTGCAGCAGATGTTCTGGTAAACATAAAGACATTTTGTAGATGTGTTTCGTTGGAGTTAAATGAACTGTCAAGTCAGTGAGGAGGCTGCAGCGGCAAAGATTAAAGACAGATGTGGAGGGAAAGCAAGGGAAGAGAGGTCCTTAACCTATGGCTGGCAGGTCCGGAGGACACCGAGGCACATAGATGCCACCCCATTCAAGAGGGAGCTTAATTAAACATGGTACTCTTAGAAAAAGGATGCCAGATGAAAGTGTTTTGGCACAGCTGATTGTCTCTTGAGAGGTTTTGGCTCTTTTGCCTTTTCTATAAGCATCAAAAATTCAAATTTTAAGGCCAAAGCACCAGGGAAATTAGCTAGTCAAGAGGAATGAACGTTGAATTTGGAGCATCTGGAAACTTGGCTTTTAGCCTCAAATTTGTCACTAATTCTGACAAGTCCTTTAACCTCCCTCTGTTTCCTGCTTTGCCACGTATAAAGACAGAACCTTTCAATTTCAGGGATTTTACGTAATTTGAACAAAATGGATGTTAAGGCCTGTTCCAAGATCTAATTGTTAATCAGATTCAAAGTAACTACATGTCAAGGCCCCTGATTGATGCCTATAAAGTGGAATAAAGGCTTAATTTCAAAATTAGGGAATCAAACAGGTATTAGATTCCAATGTTATAAAGAGATTCCCAAGAAAAATGTTTAAAAAAAAAAACTTGAGGTGATAATGCAACTCCGAGTTTGAACATTTTAGATCAAGGAGATGTAACCAAACTTAAAGGATTTAAACTATACACCTGACTGCATTTGGGGTGAAAGACTGTACAATGAGGTTATAGGTTTTCTTTCTCTGGGGAATTTTAAAAATGAAATATCTGTTCTAGTTAACTATAGCTAGAACTTCTGAATTTAGCAGCAGGAGCTCCAGGGCCTATTGTGGCCCAGGAATCCACCGGTGTGTTCCTTTTGCCAAGCCAGGCCTGCACCCCGTAAGAACGAGTTTGAGACCTAGAAGGTACCATCCATTTGGGGATCACTAAATGTCATCCCCAATGTGTTGGGTCCTCTTGGGTTTTACTTCTAGGCCTATCTCTAGGCTACAAAGAGCATTTGATCAAGTGATAGCGATCTCTCTCTAATTTAAAATGGCATGGCTTGGGGCTCCTGGGTGGCTCAGTGGGTTGAGTGTCTGACTCTTGATTTCGGCTCAGGTCATGATCTCGGTCCTGGGACGGAGCCCCACATTGGGCTCTGCGCTCGGTGGGGAGTCTGCTGGAGATTCTTTCTCTCCCTCTCCCCCTCCCCTCCTGTCTTTCTTTTTCTCTCCCTAAAATAAATAAATAAATCTTTAAAAATAAAATAAAATGGTATGGCTTGTTTGTAACAAGGTGCAGGGATTTTTATAGAGCCCTGTATTTTGTTGGACGAAGGAACTGTGTGTTAGCTATTATGAGTTACATATCCACCAAGGAAGAGGACATTTAGTTGGAAGTTGTTGGTGTAATCCTATAGTGATGCTGTAACAGACTTTGTAAGGGTCGTACGCAGGCAGAGAGCTCTGTGTGTTGATTCCCTGTCTTATGTACTAGAAATGCTGAGTACTTAAAGGATTACTTGGCTGGAGTAAAGAATGTTTTCCCTGCCGATCGTCTGTTAAATGTTAAATATTGTAACATTGTAAAACTTAATATTAAATGCTTAGATTTGCTCTGAAATAAATGACTTCATGGATGTGAAATGTTTGGATAAATTAAAGGAAAATATCTTCATAATGTAAATGGAATTGGTGTATCCTTCATTTATTTGTATGGTTGTCCCAGTTGTCTTTTGCAGATGTTCTCAAATATTTCTTTGAAACCTCTCCACTTCTTGAGGCAGTTAAGTAGTTTAATTTGCTGTATGCAGAAAAGTGACCCCATTAAATTCAATTTTGAAATTGCTGAGTGGTAAGAAGAGTTTTCCTGAGAAGGTTCCACTGGTAGGAACTAAGTTTCCCCTTGCTGTATGCAAAGGACTGTTTCAAAAGGATGGCAAAACTATTAGGATTGTTGGGACTCAGATTCTCTGGTAGGTTACTGGATGACTTGCTCATGGAATTTGGGAATCGTGGACACAGGAAACCAAACAGAAGACATAATCAGGAGAACTTCCTTGGCTTCAGTGAGTACCTAGCTCACTATCAGAAATATTTATTTCAATTTAAACTAGAGAGTTTGCCTTTTCAACATTATTTAATGCCTGGAACCACTCACACAGCCCAAGTGGTAGAATTCAATATATAAAACCAAATTCAAGGTAAGTCTCTGTAGCTGCAGAGGCCTCTTCTTGACCTTACCCTCACGCAATATCCAGTGATGTGTAACAAGGGTGGAGAGAGCCAGATGGATTTGCTCTGCTGTGCTTTGAGAGTTGGAGAATGAACTTGGCTCCGAAGGTGAACCCTGTCACTCCAATGGGGGCTGCCTGAGTACAAACCTTGTGACTGTACATGTTAAAAATTTTAATCCCCACTGTTTCTTTTCTAGGAAAGGCATGGACCAATATGTAGAAAACTCTTCAACAAAAAACGTAAACCTTTCAATTCCTTGAAACAAAGATTACAGGGCACTGACATTCCCATTGTGAGAAAGGCTCCTCAATCCAAGGTACTATCAATATCTTGTTTACTGTTCTTGATTACATCCTTAAGTACATTAAAGCCTCTTTTTGGCTCTCTGGTTTCATTTTTGCTTGGTATTGCAGTGTAATGTCATGTAAGTATAATCCACCTTTACTGTTTTCTTTTTAATCATGCTCACTTAGATTTCGAAATGTATTTCAGATATTTTCCAGATGTGGCAAAAAAGAATCTCGTTTATGTTTTCATTAGTCTAGCGTTAAATCTAGCAATTAACTTGGAAGAGAATCCTTTTTAATCTTAAATTTAAGTTTTTCTTTAAAGTTTTGTAGCTTGTTTTTCTGACGGTTATTTTGTGTTTTCCCTCACTTCAGTGACTTGCAAATTTTATTACTGTATTTTCCAAACCTCCTTTTTTGTACTTTTGAAAACAAATTCTCTTTTCCCTCAAAATTTCAGTCCTATTTCCTATAAATTTAAATCTCAGGTTAAAATAGCAAATAATCTTAAAATAAAATAGCAGTGGAGAGATGTACAGTCTAGGTAGTATATATTGGTTTTGTTTTTTATAGCCTCAACCTGTGAGGAGATCTAACTGGAGACAACAACATGAAGACCTCATTAATGCCATCCGATCGGCAAAGCAGTGTACGCTAGCCATTAAAGAAGGCCGACCTCTCCCACCTCCACCTCCTCCATCCATCAATCCAGGTGTGTGGCCAGTTTGGTTTGCTTTTGGCATTTTACTCTTAACCAATTGTGGGGCCAAATCATCATGACTTGCTTCCTCCTATGCATTCTAAAATAAATAATAGCAATTAAATTATATAAAAGTAATTTTATCATATAATACATCTTATCCTAATTTCTTTTTAATTCTGCATAAAGATTCTGTGTTTCCTTCTAACTCCATGAGAACACCACTGTACCCAGTGTCATGGCCTTTCACATCATGGTGTATGAGAATGAGGCTGTGCAGGGTAGTTCCACAGTAGCTCCACAGGGTCAGATACCCATAGCTCTGGGTTATTTGGGGGTGGGGGTTTTGTTTTGAGATTAAAATCCCATGATCTAAAATTCACCATTTTAGTCATTTTAAGTTGTGTAGTTTCGTGGAAACCTAAAGGTTTCTTACCCTAAACTTTTTATTTTGAAAGTTTTCAAGTTTACAGAAAAGAGGAAGAAATAGTACAGTGATCACTCATACCTTCCACTGAAATTTGGCAGTTGTTGACGTCATATTCTCTGTCCTTTTATTTGGGGGGTGGTGCAGAACTATTTAAAACTAAGTTTCAAACATCATAACACTTTACCCTTAACTATGTCAGTGTGCATTTCTTAAGGATGAGTGCATTCCCTTGCATAATATATAGACTTATATTTTCCCAGTTATCTTAAGAATGTCTTTTAAAGCTCTCTGCTTGCCCCCTAGCCACAATCTAGGATTCAGTCAAGGTTCATGCATTTTTGTTGTTGTCTCTTTTCTTTAATCTTGCACAACACCCCTATCAGGCCAATTATCTTTTAGAATACTTCTTTTGCTAGATATGTCTGTTTTTTAACTCAGGCTAATGTTTAACTTGTTCCTCTGTCCTGTTTTTTTATAAATTGGAAATTAGGACTAGAGGCTCTATTAGATTAATAATAGTATTAATCCCTATCAGATATAAGATCTTCAAATATTTTCTCCCATTTTGTGGACTGTCTTCACTTTCTTGATGGTATCTTTTGATGCACAAAAATTTTTAATTTTGAAGAAGTCCAGTTTATTTTATTTTTCTTTTGTTGCCTAGTGTTTGGTGTTAAATCCAAAAAATCAGTGCAAAATCCATGTCATGAAGCCTTTCCTGTATGCTTTCTTTTTTTTTTTTTTTTTTAAAGATTTTATTTATTTATTTGAGAGAGAGAGTGAGAGAGAGAGAGCACAAGAGGGGGAGGGAGCGGGAGAGGGAGAAGCAGACTCCCTGCTGAGCAGGGAGCCCGATGCGGGACTCGATGTGGGACTCGATGCGGGACTCGATGCGGGACTCGATGCGGGACTCGATGCGAGGACTCCAGGATCATGACCTGAGCCGAAGGCAGTCGCTTAACCAGCTGAGCCACCCAGGCGCCCCTCCTGTATGCTTTCTTCTAAGAGTTTTATAGTTTTAGCTCTTACGGTTTTCTCTTTGATCCAGGTGGAGTTAATTCTGTATGTGGTAGAAGGTAAGATCCCAACTACTTTGGAAGTTGGATATCTAGTTTTACATGTGGATATTTAGTTTTCTCAGCACTATTTGTTGAAAAGACTATTCTTTCCCCATTGAATGATCTTGGCACCATTATCAAAAGTCAGTCAGTTGACATATATGTGAAGGTTTATTTCTGGGCTGTCTGTTCTAGTCTATTTCCCTTATGCCAGTACCACCCTATTTTGATTACTCTAATAAATTTGTAGTAAGTTTTGAAAGTTCTCCAAGATTGTTTTGGTTATTTGGGGACCTTTGAGATCTCATATGAATTTTTAGGATGATTTTCTATTTCTGAAAATGCAATTGGAATTTTGATAGGGGTTGCATTAAATCTGTACATAGACTTAGGTAGTGTTGTCATCTTAACAATATTGTTTTCCAGTCTATGAACATAGGATGTCTTTTAATTTATTTATCTTCTCTTTAATTTCTGTCATGAATATTTCATTGAATAGGTGTAGGAATATACAAGTCTTTTACCACCTTGGTTAGATTTATTCTTAAGTATTTTATTCTTTTTGATGTTATTATAAATGGAAATGTTAACTTTGTTTTCAGGTTGTTCATTGCTAGTGTATAGAAATATGACTGACTTTTGTGTATTTTGTATCCTGCAACTTTGTTGAATTTTGTTACCTCTAACAGTTGTTTTTTTGGTGTGGAATTTTTAGGGTTTTCTACATATAAAATTATGTCATTTGTGAACAGACATAATTTTTCTTCTTCTCCAATTTGTCTTTTATTTCTTTTTCATGTCTAAATCCTCTTGCTAGAATTTCCAATACTATATTGGATAGCAGTGGTGAAAGCAGACATCCTTGTCTTGTTTTCCATTAAGTAAATATTATCTGAGGGTTATAATTGGCTATTTAAAGCATAAATAATAGCATTTTATGAGGATTATGATGTGGAAGTAAAATGTATGAAGACAATACAAGTTTAAGGAAAATGGACATACATTGTTGAAAGGTTTCGTCTACATGAATAGGTTTAGTACTCATTAAATATGAATAGTTATAGTATTATTTGAAGGTAGAGTTGTATATCTTAACGATGCCTATTTTATTTTTTTAAAGATTTTTATTTATTTATTTGGCAGAGAGAGAGTGTGAACATGAGCATGAGCAGGGGGAGTAGCAGGCAGAGGGAGAAGCAGGCTCCCCACTGCGCAGGGAGCCCGATGCGGGAATTGATCCCAGGACCTTGGGATCATGACCTGAGCTGAAGGCAGACGCTTAACCGACTGAGCCACCCAGGCGCCCCATCAAAGATGCCTATTTTATTTTATTTTATTTTTATATATTTATTTTTAAAGATTTTATTTATTTATTTGACAGAGACACAGCGAGAGAGGGAACACAAGTAGGGGGAGTGGGAGAGGGAGAAGCAGGCTTCCCGTGGAGCAGGGAGCCCGATGTGGGGCTCAATCCCAGGACCCTGGGATCATGACCTGAGCCGAAGGCAGACGCTCAAACGACTAAGCCACCCAGCCACCCCTAAAGATGCCTATTTTAAACTCTAGAGTAAATACACAACAATATTGACATGTAGCTAATAACACAGTAAGTGGAGTAGAGCTAAAATGAAAAAAAAATTCAGTCTAAGAGAAGATAGGAAAAGAGGGGGGAAAAACAAAAGGTGGGATAAAGACAAAGCAAGATGGTAAACTTAAACCTAACCATATGGACAGTTGCATATAAATGACCTAAACCCTTCAGATAAAAGGCAGATTATCATACTAAATAATAAAGCAAGGTCCAATTATATACTTTCCCCAAGAAACACACTTTAAATATGAAGACACAAATAAGTGTGCCAGTCAGGTGACAAAACAAGGAGGTGAGGCAGGTAGGCCTAAAGCAGTGACACCCTCACTAAGGGACAGGTGCTCCTGCACTAGCAGGGCTCTTGCCTCAAAGGAACACACACCAGGATTGCCGGATCTAATTTCTCAAAGGATGGCAAAAACTGCAGATTTCCTGATTTCTAACTATCAGAAACTCAGTTTTTTAGAAACTTCGGGTTTGAATCTCTGAGGTTGGAAGTCAGGCAGTGGTTTTCCTTGGAGGGGTGAGGATGACCAGGAGTGGACATGAGGAGCATTGCTAGGAATGTTCTGTGTCTTGATCTGGGCTGGTTACATGGGTGTGTGCAACTTATAAATTATATTTCATGGAGACCTACACTTAGGATTTGTGCCTTTTCTCTTGGATAAAAAGGTAAAAGAAATAAACACCAGCAGTGTCAAAACAACTGTAGACTGGCATGTGAAAAGCATGGGGAAGGATATGTGTGCAAACAATCATAAAACTAGAGTGACTAGTGTTAGTATCAGTCAAAGCAAACATCAGTGTTATTAACAGGGGTAATGATTAAAAATACATTCATCAGGAAAGCTTATCAGTCCCTAAATGTTTATGTACCTAGTAACAGCTTCAAAGAACATGAAACAAAAACTGGGCGGAGAAGTAGAAAGATTCACAATTATATTTGGAGATTTTATCGTTCCTTTCTTAGTAGCTGATAAAATAAGCAGCAGGAAAATCAGGAGGGATATAGAAAATTTGAACAACAGTATCAACCAGTTTGACCTAATTGATATCTATTGCTATAATGTGACATGCAGCAACAGCAGAATATAGTTCTTTTTAATTACACATGGAGCATTCATCCAAGATAGGTCATGTGGAAGACCACAAAGTGAGTCTCAATGAATCATTGAAATCATACAGGTTATGTTATTTGACCCAGTAGAATTAAGTTAGAAGTTAATGATGAAAACATCTAGAAAATTTCCTAATATTTGGAAATTATCAACTCATTTCTAAATAATGCATGGATTTAAGAAGAAATCATAAAAGAAATTAGTAAATATTTTGAACTGAGTGGCAATGAAAAACACATCAAAATTTGTGGGATTCAGCTAAAACTGTGTCTAGAGGGAGTTTTATAGCTTTAAATTCTCATATTAGAAAAGAAGGTTTAAACTGATTATTCTTCCTCTTTAAAAAGTTAGAACAAATTATACCTAAATTAAGTAGAAGGAAGAAAATAGTAAATGTAGTTTACCATATTAACAAAATATTTTTAAAAGCAGATGATCATCCCAGTAGACACAGGAAAAGCCTGTGACAAAATACAGCACCCATACATGTTTAAAAAAGAAAACTCTTAGGTAGAAATAGGAGGGAACACCTCAATAAAGGACATCTTTGAACAATCTATAGCTAACATTACACTTGATGAAAAACTGAGCACTTTTCCACTGAGATCACGAAAACGTAAGGATGTCCTTTCTGACCACTTCTGTTCAACTCTGTACTGGAGATAAAGTACCCAGTGTAATAAGGAAATAAATTATCAGAGAGAAAGAAGTAAAACTGTCTTTATTCACAGATAACATAAAATCATGAATAAGTATAGAAAATCTTAGTAAACTATAAGAAAGCTACTGGAATTAAAAGTTCATTTAACATACTT